GAGAGCCCTGAGAAAAGTTAGCATTTGGGTTTTTCTTTTCTTAATTTTATTCTTTTTTTTCTTTTTTCGACCACTACCCTCCCCAGGTTTCCACTTACACTTGTCGTCGCCAATGCTCTCGTGGGCCATCTGGGCCTTGGTGCAGGCAATGGCCTTGTCGTTGGCCTGGCGCGTCAGAGCGGCGCAGTTGTCGCCGGAGCACTTGGAGTCCATGGCCTTCTGCAGCGCGTTGCCCTTCCAGCCAAAGAGGTAGTCGCCGTGGATGCCGTAGCCCGTCTTGTCGCCCATGCTCCAGAAGAAGGGCTGGCTGCCGTCTGTGGGCCAGTCGGCCTTGTTGTTGAACTGCCGCGTGTCGAACATGACCTCGTACATGACCTGCGGGATCTTGACCGGGTGCGTCGACGGGCACGCGCCGCCGCTCTCAAAGGTGCCGGACGCCGGGTACGCAATGTGCGACCGGTGGTCCGGGCTGTCCGTGTTCTTGCCGTCCCAGCACGACGGGAACGTCACCGTCACGCGCCAGCCGCCGCCGCACGGGCTCTTGGGGAACCCGGCCACGTCGGACCCCGTGCAGGGGGCGCCGCCAAAGGGGCTCTGCTGCATGTTGCTCTCGCAGCGGAAGCACACGCCGCGCGGCACGGCGCTGGCCTTGCGGTTCATGGGATCGCCGACAATCATGCGGAAGCCCGGCTTGAAGGCCGTCACCTTGGCGCTCGCCTGGTAGCCGCGGATGTAGTAGATGGTGGCGCCGCCCTTGACGCCGAGGCCCAGGTTGGTGACCTGCGGCACGCGCTTGAACGTGCCGTTCTTGGCGCGGAAGTAGACGTTGGCCGTCCAGTAGTTGGAGAAGTCCTCGTTGTACGTGCACGAGGTGCACGTCGACAGCGTCGGCGGGTCGTGGACCGACGGCGTCATGGACGCGTTGAACGAGTTGCCGCCGACGATCTGGTGCATGTGCGCCGACGGCAGGTCGCCAGGGTTGACGAGGGGGTCGATGCGGTCAATGGTCAGCTGGGAGCAGCCGAAGCGCATCAGCTCCTGCGCGGCCGCGAGCTGGAACGCCGCCGAGGCGATGACGGACTTGAGAAGCATGTTGGAATGCGTGCCGTGGAAAAAACGAGACGATGCTACAATACAAAGTAAAAAAGTAAAGGACGGGATGGCTCAAGGTGAAGCACACGACTCGAGGTACTGGACGACGACAGAAACAACAAACAGAGAAGCCAAGAAGGAACCGAAGAAAAAGAAGGAAAGAGAAGAGAAGACCAAGAATCGGAATCCGGACTGCCAGTGTTCTTCTTATACCAAGGCCTAGTCCATATTCTCGCTTCTCTGTTATGATAGTGGCATTCTCCATCTCATTTCATTTGGGTAAACCGAAAGCCGACCGGGGGCCAGTCCTGTGTCCTGTGTCCTGTATCCTGTGTTCTGTTTCCTGTGTCCAAAGTCTATTTTCTCATCTACTATGCGTGCTCTTGTTGCCTATAGTGCGCTGTTTTTGGTTGCCTCGTTTATGTTGATTGATATAAGATGTATTATTTGTCAGTGTGTTCTTTTGTGCTGGCTTCTCCAAACCCTCCGTGCCCAGACTGTGGCAGCCGGCTGTAGTCTGACAACTGCCGCGGACCCGCTTCATCAACCGACTTGGACGAGGTTGACCATTCTCGGCGGTTAATATAAACATGTAAATCTGGGGAGAGGCAAAATGGGAGTTTGGGGAAGAGGGCGGGTGCAAAGACAGGGAAGTCGGGCAATAGTAAATTGCACTGCTATATAAAGCCATCCCGGTCATTGGACGAGAGCGCCTCGGCTCTTGATGGTCCACATTGCAGTATATCGGAGTGTTGTTACTATCCTTACGGACCGCGTCCGACAGAGGCACATGGTCATGACCACCAATCTCTCTTGTCTTTATTGTTTTTGGCTTTGCTATCATTTCGTCTGTAGTTTTGCTTTTCTTTTCTCCGACTCGGACTCGTTGCATCCCAAATCCAAGTCGGGAATATTCTTCCATCTGCGCCTCGACCCGATCTTCTTTAACCGGTCATCCCAGAGGCACGTTTTTTGGTCGTGATTTGAAACTGCAAAAAGTAAACAAAAGACGACAATCCAACACATAAATCGGCAACGAGAGAGCACGTACTTTACCCTTGCCGTCTATTGAATCGTCTCCAGATGCGGATCTGTCTTCGACTGGGCATCAGCTTCCATTATTGTCTGCATAATAAATCTCCGTTTCCCGTTTACATATGTGTTTTTTATCCTCTCAGTTTAACCGAACCTTATCTGACTATCTCCTGAAAGGCGAGGCCGGTTAGTGGAGCTCAGTCAAACGTAGATGTATTCCTATGATCCTTTCATTCACCCAGTAAATTAGATGTGGACTCTGTTTCCTGTCAAGCTTTATTCTTAGAAGTCTTACTTTTTTCCCCTGACCAGTCGGCAATTTTTCGTACCATGATAGGCCTCTGTCTTGTATTTTGCTGCCCAAAGGCCCAGACTATCGAGCACCACTCACCCGTCTCCTGTCCGTATCTACGTCCATCGGCATATACTTGTAGCACGTGGCGACACCCCTTTGCGGGCAGTGAGCTTTGTGATGCCATCCGCTGGTCGTCTGTCATCGAGGCGGGATCTTGAAGAACACGGAACTTTCAATGTCTCGGCATTTGACAACGGCAAAGCCTGCCGTCTGCCATGTTTGACCGGGTCAAGTCTGGAGCATTCGGGGAATTATATATCATTTGTTTTATTTGTGTACATGGAAGCCGATACAGGTACAGTGTGGCAGTTGTTCTATGCGCAGCAAAAAGCGGTACGAGCTGGTGAATGGCGAATATTGATACATGGAGACAATGTGGCTCTCTTAGAGCCACGGCAGCAGCAGCAACAACAGCAACAGTCTAGTTGTAAGACCACTTGCGCTCGATGCTCTTGCCGTAGCCACCAGTGCCGGTCACGGGCAGGTTCCGCTTCTCCAGCTCCTGCACAATCACCTTCCACCGGCCCACGGCCTTGTGCTTGTCAATGGGCGTCACGCGCCGGCCGTAGACGGACACGTTGGGCAGCGCGGCCAGTTGGCCGTCAGCGGCCAGCTCCTCGGCCAGCTTCTTGGCCTTGGGCGGGCGCACGAGCACGGCCAGCAGGTCGCCGACAGTGCGCGCCTCAACCAGGTGGGCGTCGGCCAGCAGGTGGCCCGTCAGCTGCAGGATGCGCTTGCTGATCTGTAAAAAGTAAAAAAAAACGTCAGTAGGTGGTGCAAAAGTGCAGTGCGTTCGAAGTGTGACCGTCATCCTACCGCAAACTTGAGGGCAACGTCATGCAGAGAGATAGACTTCCAGCTGGCGTCACCGGCCCATGACTCAACCAGCGCCTGGGCTTCTTCGACGGCCGGCGTGGCCACATCCTCTGCGGCCCCGGCCTCTGCCTCGGTGCCGGCCTGGAGACCCGCCACAACACCAGCCACGTCGCCGCGCACGCCCGCCACGCTGCCGTCGGCGGCCACGTCAAACTGCAGGGCCAAGGCTGCCGGCCCATCGCTGCCGCGCGCCCAGGCTGTGCTCGTCAGCAGCTCTGCATTCTGCGGCTGCTGCTGCTGCACGGCCAGCGCCTCGGACACAGCCTGCCGCGCCAGCACCTGCAGAACGGCCGGATCCGTCACGGGCGCCCTCGGACCGAAGCCACGGAACTCCAGAGACGGGTCCCAGTGCCGGTCGTCCTCCCACCAGCCCTCGAGGCCACCGACCTCCTCCAGCCCGGCGCCGGACTCGGCGGGGGTGTATGTCGAGTCGGCGACCTGGCCCGGCAAGGGCGCCACCTGGACCGCGCCCGGGACAGCTAGTGTACTCGACTCGTCGGGCAGCTCAGGCCACGCATCGGCCTCAAGCTGCTCTTGTGGCTCTGCTTCGCTCAGAGCCTCGACGCCTGTCGTCGGCTCTGCTGGTTTTTGTGGGTCGGCGCTGCGGCGCGCCATCGAGGTGCTGAAGAGGCGGCCATGTATGAGGGAGGATGAGGGAAAGGCGGGCCGAGAGGACCGGAAACGTGCTGCTGCGGCGGATGAGGGCGTCAAGGGCGTCGCTGATGCTGTCGCGTGGCATCGGAAAGCGCAATGGCTGCTGGGGCGTGCTGCTGTGGACTCGACCACCGCCGCGCCGCTCGGCTTCGGTAACCGTGCTATTCTGCGCATAGTGTAGAGGTGGAGTGGTAGGACGAGTGCATATGGCGGAAACGTCGTAGAGTTGTCTTGGATCGGCGTCGGTCGTCGTCGATGTGAGCTGCAATACGACGAAGTTCGCCCGATATTTTTTTTTCCTGCAAAGGTTTAGCACGAAAAAGGCAATTCCGGCATCTGATTGGCTACTTTCAGTCCTAACAAAAAGTCGGCAGGTACTCTACAGTGTGCAGCCACAGTGTGGCTTCGCGTTTGCGACAACTTGCCCCATATTTTCCAGGCGGGTCACCTACCTTCTCCCATGGAGCTCTCTCCAGCTACAAAGGAACGTCACCACCGTAAAAGTACTGGTACAATACCAACAGCACGTATTAACCGGCACCACTTGACTGAACAGACCACTCAGATGGACGGATCACGACCGTCCAGCGACGGCAAAGGCCATGTCCGCAACAAATCGTCCACAAAAGGTCCGCCTCCAGAACGGACATTGATGTCGATGTCGATACGAAGTTCACAAATCAAAGATCACAGTGACGACTAACAAAACAACAGCAGCAAGGCCACGATCGTCCACAAAAGGCCCGTTGGATGTAGACGAGTATGTCCCTCAGCCTGAGCTCTCTCCGCGGCAGCAGTCACCTCGCTAACTGTCGATAGCCCCCTCGCGCAATCAACACTCTCGATACGACCCCAGACAGCCGCCTCCGCCTCGTCACAACTCTCCCCTCTCTCTCCACCACCACAGACTGCGTCTGTCCACGGCCTGACGCCCTCGCGTTATACAAGTGCACGGCGACGAAGTCCTGGACCAGGGCCCGGCTCGCCCATGAGCCAATCGTCCCAGCAATCACCGCCGCCTTCGCGTGGCGGAGGAGGTGGTGCTGCAGCTGCTGGACTCGGCTTAAGCATTGATGCGGCCGTCTCTGGCAAAACACAAGCACAGCGAGCCCCCTCGCCGCGCCCCAAAGACTTCATCTACCTGCTGCGGCCCGAAATCTACCACCCACTGCCGGCCACCGCTGCCGGCGCTAATGTGCCACAGTCTTTCCGCATATCGGATCGCCAGCCCAATCCAGACGAGGCCGTCGGAGCCGCCGAGCTGTCTGCCACCGCCTTGTCCGACCTGCTCGCGTCTGGCCACTTCCGCGCCGCTGCCATCGTGGCCGCCCGCCAGCTTGTTGCCCAGCCAGATCCGACCGACTATGCCCGCATCTTTTCGCTCTTCTATACCCGCCTGGCGTGTCTGCTGCTGCTCGACATGACGTCGCTGGCCGCACAGGAAGCCAAGGCGCTGGAAGATCTAAACAGCCCGTTTTACCGCGGCGAGGCCGACCCCAACGACCCGTCGGGTCTGCCGCCCCACCTCGCACCATGGGCGCTGCGCGTCCTGCACGTCCGCCTGCAGGCGCTGGGCTTTGGCGACCCCCGCCGCGCCGTCATGAGCTACTACGAGCTGGCCCGCGAGGCGCGCGTGCGCATTGCCGCGGCGCTGGCGACGCACGACAACTCGGTGCGCGAGCTGTGGAAGGCGCGTCTGTCCGAACTGGGCATCCAAGTGGCCGGCGCGCTCATCGAAATGGACGACATGGCGGGTGCAGCGGCGCACTTGGCCAACCTGTCGACCCCTTCCTCTGCTTCCTCCTCCTCCTCGCCCACGACGACGACAGCGACACTCGCCACCCGCCGCATCGACATGGCCAAGGCGCTTCTGTGGCTGCAGCTGGGCGACGTGGACGCTGCGCGGGCGGCCATGGGGCGCGACGGCGCCTCGCAGGCCGCGGGCGATGACACGGCGGACTCGCCGTTTGAGACGGGCAAGAGTGGTGATGCGGGCGACCTCGCACCTCGCGTAGTGGCCGCTCTCTGCGATATGGCCGATGGCGAGTACAGGACAGCGTTGGCGGCATGGCGGGCGCTCCGCGACGACGCACCCGACGACGAGATGATTGGCGTCAACCTGGCCGTGTGCCTGTTGTACGTCGGCCAGATGCAGGAGGGCCGTGCTGTGCTCGAAGGCCTGGTCGACGCAGGCTACTCGTCGCACACGCTGCTCTTCAACCTGTCCACCATGTACGAGCTGTGCACCGACCGCGCCAAGGCTATGAAGTTGAACCTGGCACAACGCGTGGCCGACCAAACGCACGCCGACGGCCAAGCCTGGGAGAAGACGAATGCCGACTTTAAACTCTAGGTCCATCCTCCACGATAGAACACGAAAAATAAATGCCAATGTATTTTGTTGTGTAAAAGCGCCCAAAGTGACAAAAGAAACAGTAGAGTCGCGTCGATGCGAATCTCACAATTCCCACAAAGTCCCGCAATCCCCACTCCATTATGTGTGCCCCCTTCCCGCTCCTGTATTGTATTTTCTTGCATCCAAAACGTCCAAAATGCTTCGTCCGGCCACCACCTACACCTTGAGCCATAGCTTCACGACGCCCGTGACGTACTCGGCAATGTCAGACGCGCTCATCTTGGAGTCGCCGTAGACGCGGTCGACAAACGTAATCGGCACCTCGGCAATCGTGTACCCCATGGCCTTGGCCGTCACCGCCAGCGCCATCTGCATGCCGAACCCGCGCACGTCGGTGCTCTCAAACAGCTTCTCCAGCACCGACCGCTTGTACAGCCGGAACGAGCCCGTCAGGTCCGACACGCCGGGCCGCAGCACCGTGTCCGCAAAAATGTTGGCGCCCTTGCTCGTCAGGCGGCGCCGCAGGTCCCAGCCGTGCACGCCGCCGCCGGCCGCGTAGCGCGTGCCCGTGACAATGTCGTAGTCGGCCGTGGCCTGCAGCGCAATCATCTGCGGGATGAACTTGGGGTGGTGCGAGAAGTCGGCGTCCATGATGATGATGAAGTTGCCCTTGGCAAACTGCAGGCCGTGGACGTAGGCCGTGCCGAGGCCGAGCTTGCCGGTGCGCGTCTTGAGCACGACGTGCGGCGCGTAGACCTTGACGAGCTGCTTGGCGACCTCTTGGGTGCCGTCGGGCGAGCCGTCGTCGACAATGATGAGCTCCCAGTCAATGTTCCTAGGCCCAACGTCAGCAGTGTCTCCCTCGTCATTCTTGCCCCTCTTGTCCGGCATGTTCTTCTTTTCTTTCTTCCTCTTGTTCTTTCCTTGTCAAACGCACTCCTGAGTAAAGGTCCGGTTCAGTAGCCAGGCGACCACGGGCAAATTCTGGCGCTCGTTGAACGTCGGCAGAATTACCGAGTACTTGTTTTTGGTGTTCTTCGTAGGCGCCATTGTGGGATGGGGAGGTGTGTTGGCAAAAAGGTAAAATCGAGGATTGGGAGATCGTCACCGGTCGGGTCAAGAAGTATTGTCGGGAAAGTTGTCGCGAGATGCAGAAAACGAACGAGGACGGAGCGATCAGAGCTAATGTCGCGATGCAAATGCAGCAGTGGACAGCTGTTCCCCTTTTTTGGGTGTCTGGGCCAGGGGTGGTTGCTGAATTGGGTCGCCCACGCGAAATAAGCTCCATGCGCTGTACCCAACTAAGCTTTTGGTGGGTTCTAGGCCTGTATTTCAGCGCTTGCGACGCGTTACGTTCGGGAAATGTGCAGCGCCAGGGCGCCTCCAGCCTGTCCTTATCGTTATCGCAACATTGAACTCTTTGGACTTTTGGCAGGCGGATCATGTGACAATACTGGCCGACCTTTCGGAATCGATTCAAGATGTAGCTATGATTACACACCTAGCGCACATAGAAGACAATGCAGTTTACTTCGGATCAAGCGGGAGAACGCGAGTTCTTGTGACTTATAAATAGCGATACAAGGCCCGGCGTTTCTATGTGTGGGCAATTACAAGAATTATAGCAAGAATTCAACGAATGAATAAGAAAACACCCCGAGAGCGACAATACAGTCTATGACACGGCCGATATCCGAGGAGACCTTGCTCCTGCGCCCAAAACGCCTTTGCTGCCAAGGTGCGACGTATGTATGTATCCAAAAACAGAGCAAAGCCAAAGCAATACCCAGAGATCCAAAGAAGACAAAAGGACAGCATGAAGAACTACAAAAAGTATGTGGTATAATGTCGGGGTGAAGAGCATAAAACACAGGCACAGCAGACAGACACCGCACGCACCGTCAGCGCAAGGACGACTTGCACTACGTCTTCCCCGCCTCAAGGTCGGGCGTGTGCTTGTCTTCCTTGGGCCGCTTGCCCTTGAGGTTGTTGTAGTGGTAAATGCCGAGCTCGCGGTCGTGGGCCAGCTTGGCGCGGTCCTCGTCCGTCAGCGGCACGCCCTCGATGCCCTTGACCCGCTTGCCTTCGAAAAACATGCCGAGACCGCCGAGGGCGCCTGCTATGCAGCCGAGGGCGACAAACAGGCCCGTCGACCACGAGGGCCGGTCGTACCGGTTCATGCCCCACATGAAGCCGGCCAGGACGGCCTGCAGAAACGTGTTGGCAATGTTCATGCCCAGAACAAAGACAATGACCCAGTGGCGCGTCGCCGGTGCCCGCTGGCCGGTCAGCGGCTTGTCGGGGATCTTGGACTCGGGGAAGGGGATGGCGCTGCAGGGGGTTTCAGCGGGCACGCTGCCCGGGCCCGTGGTGCTGGGCAGGTCCTGTGAGCCCGGAAGACGCAGCCAGGCGCGGTGAATGCCGGCCAGGCGGCGGATGCCCTTTTCCTTTTTGCCGATGCGCCACTGGAGGTAGTAGAACATGTCCCGAAAACGCCAGGGGGCGAGGCCGAAGCCGGTGACGCAGAAGAGGCCGTTCAAGATCTGGCTGTCGACCTCGATCCACTTACGGCGCGGAGAGTTGATGTCGTTGCATGTCGGGTAGCACATGGCCGGGCTAGCATTGCACAGCAGCAAGAACAGCATGCCGCCCCATGCGACAACATTGAGGCCATACAGGACCACCAGAAACCCGATGGGTGTCCGGGCATAATGCCAAAAGGCGACGGCGCCGTGGTGGAACGACTCGCCCGTGGAGTACTTGGGCGGGAAGTGGTAGCCGTTGTCATAGTCGTTGTACAGGTCGGCATCGGCAAGGACGTTCGCTGGGGGTGTGCTTCCCGGTGCAGCGTCGTCTTCGTTTCTGTTGACGTTTGCGTTTTGGTGGTGTATTTCGTCGGCCGACAGTGTCGGGCGGACAAGGGTGGCAGCAGCACTGCCCTCTTTCTGTTCCGCGTCTCCGGCGGCGGCCGCATTGGCGCCGTATGTTTTGCTCGTGTCGGCGTTGCCGTTCGGGTACGGAGACGAGAAGTGTTTCTGCTCATCAAGCGTCTCAAGCGTGCCGTCGCCGCCTTTCGATGGTGTCCGCTGTCGCTGTTGCTGCAGCGCCTTGCTACGCTCGTCAGGGTCGCTGGCGGTAGACGAGCGGGTGCGCCCCGTGCTGGACCGCGAGCGCGCCGCCGTCATCACGGTCGACGTCATGTCTGCGGTGGCTGCGAGGAAACCGGGCGGCAGATTGGACTCCTGAAAGCTCTTGGACAGCCTGCGCGGGATGCTTTCGGAGGACCGCTGGTTCGGGTTGTTGAGGGCGGCAACGGACTCGCGTCGCTCGCGGCCGACGGTGTTGCGGCGGTCGCTGAAGATGGGATCGTTGCTTGGCGCAGTGGGAGACGTCTGCGAGGTCTGTGAGGTCTGGTAGGTATGCGAGTTGTCGTTCCTATCGTTCCCATCGCTCCTGTCGGCGGGTACAGAGCTCATTTCAATGCCTGGCGAGACCGTCGCAGCAGGGAAGGGTTCCAAGGGGGAAGTGGGCTCGGTCGGTTGCCCCATGATGATTGCCACTGGAGAAGGTGAAATGCTGGGCATCCGATGGGTGTGGACAAGGGGGAAAGAAAGGACAGAGTGGTGGCGAGAAAATCGTCGCCGCGTCACTGCCACAGAGTGCTCCGCAAGCACGAGTGCGCTGATGTCGTCCGTCCAATTCAATCAATTGGATACGTTGGATCAGTGCGCTCGGTACGATGACTTCGATCGATTCGCAAAGTCAATCAGGTCATTGGCAAGTCAAGACGAAAAGCCAGTGACGCAATCAACAAAACAATCGTCTGCGAAAGCTGGCGCAAGTCACGGCTGCAGAAAAACAGGGCAATTCGTGGTTGCAACGGGAGACGGCAGCGAAACACGCGGGACGAAACACAAGAGGACCGGAACGAGAAAGACAAGGAATGGAGGGCAATCGGCAAATGGAAAACGGCAGATTGCAAGTTTGGGATGGTATGCGTTCCAGGCGATTTAAGGCTATGGGTAGATATTGGGACAATTGGGCAATTGGGCAATTCTCGTGACCCGATAGCAGGCTGAAGAGAAAAACAAGAAATGGAAAGACCGAGAGAGTTGCGTCAGTGGAGGCACGGGGGAAGCGACGATAGGGTCTCGACCGGTCCACGAAAGCACGGGGTGACGGGAAAGAGCGAGCAAGCAGGTAGAGTGGAGCATGTAGATGCAGAAGCCAGAGGCAGGTGCGATGGATATACGGCGTATTCTGATGCACGAGGAAGTCACATAATCTTACAACGTCTAGCGGAAATACAGCGAGCGACAGGCGACCTGCCGCATCCGTATATCGAAAAGAGGAGAAGCTGCAAAATAGGCCAGCAAAGCGGAGGGAAGATTTTGCTTTTCTTTTGCTTGTGTTGATCTTTTCTTTGCGCTGCCGCCGTATAATTACACACTAATGGGGCGCTAAAACTCCGCTAAGCCCCTGGAAAGAGGTCCTCTCGTCCTGTCAGCGTTTAGTACTGGCTTAGTGGCCTATCGGCAGCGACGGTGGAGGGAACAGAGGGAACTTGGTGCTAGTTTCCAGGCACAGAACGTGATTTCTAGCAGCCTCCAGCGTTAAGAGTTCCTCGGTTGGCAAGCCAATATCAGTTAGTGAGCAGGAACTAGGGACGGTGCTAAGAAAAAACAGGCAATCGCTGCACGAAAGGGAAGAACAAAGAGGAAGAAAGGAATGAGAAAGAACAGTGGACAAAGCAGAGGGAAACAACCAACACAGAGTATTCACATAGGAAAGATGTACACGTGAACAGGTTCACGATAAAGCTGCACATTTGCATAATGCTACCCAGATTACGATGGAGGTACATATAACGTGTAAGATACTGTTACTGATGGTCTTTACCAGGCGTTGCTGGCAGAGGGCATTGAGAGACAGAGTACAAAATATTCCATATGTATCTTAATTCGTACACATATTCTGATCAACTGGTGTATTTCGTACGGCAGCAGCCGGGGGGATGGGCACCAAATTGACGTCAGTTACATTCTCCTTTGCCAAAATCAGTCCAGCAAAGGATGCAGTGTTCATTGGACTGTTCCATTGTATCATTACAAGTGGCCGTTTTGCACAAGGCTTGAAGCAAGGCTGAGCCAATATTGTCAGCCACCGGAGAACCGTTCGGTACGTCATCCGGGACGACCCTCTGTGGCTCAGTCAAACGTCTGTGAGGCGACTGGAGGTAAATCGTGCATGACGTTTTGGAGTTCACATGGTGTTGGGGCAATTGTAAGAATTCTTGATATTCAAGCCAAAAGTAAGGAAAAAATAATAACGGAAAAAAAAAAGTAGGATCGTAATGTGAGCCAGCCACTTCTATATTACGATTACTACGCGTACGTCCCATCTACTTTCATTATTATTTGCCACTACTTCTTCGCCTCCAAAAGCCGCTTGGACTCCTGCAGGTCATACTTCTTCATCCACGCCCGGCCCATCTTGGCTTCGATTTCCGCATACAGACGAAGATTCTCGGCCGTCTCTTCCTCTGCGGACAGGACAGCCTTGCGGCCCCGGCGACCACGAACACTGCTCGCGGCGCTGGCCAGCTGCTGCTGTGTGTCTGTGTCGATACCAGCGACGAAGTCCAGAACACCGGTCGTCTGCGTCAGCTCCTGGCTACTTGCCGCGATGAGATCGCTAAGGCGAGCATGCACCATCTTCATCTCTTCCAGGGTGAAACCCATGATGTCGTTGGAGTGAAGAAGACGGAAAGGAAGAGACAAGTCGAGGTTGGCAAACTACTATGGGGCGCTCCAGCGAAGAATCGAAACAGTAGAAAATGCAAATATATATATATAAATTCAAATAAAAATAAACAAATATAATCTTATTTGTTGCTTGCCATCGAATGACAATTCTTGCCGACTCTGAAAAGAAGACACTGCATGACACTTTCGAAGGATTCTTTCAACATTTAATAGTCACCCGCTCTCATATTGTTCAGACCTCTGTTCAGCGGGCAAAATCTTTGTTCGACAACGATGGTGAGATTGCGTATGAATTGTATTGTTAAATTGCACGTTGTGACAGCATAACAGTATTCATTGTTCTCATGAATCGAAAATGAGGGAACATGTTGCTAAAACAAGAAATATTATCAATTTTATTCAATTTTATTTCATTTACATACATGTACCTAAAAACTTATTTGAAAATAATATACGCTATAAAAACCCCATATAAAGAGGCAACTTTAACTAAAATAATTGCAACGAACGGTTGCAGGTCGTTGCTGCTCAAAAGAGGTCGTTTGATGCAAGGCTGAAATAAGGTCCACGAAACAATTGTTCATATGCTATTAGCACTGTAATAACTGCTTGGAAATGGCGCCTGGCATATAGTGTTGCTAGATCCCTCCTATGGAACAATTGTGGGCCAAGGAAGCACTGAGTTCAGAATCGCGCTAAGAAATTATGTCCAACACAGCTTTCCTAGGACTCGACCAACCAGGTGCAAGAACAAGCTTCCCTCTCAAAACACCTACCCTATCATTCTTTGACGGCACAGCATAACTTGTTGTGAATCATGAATATTGTCAAAGGGCCGACACTGACGGCCACACTCGGCACTGGCCATAGCCCCAGCCGGAAGCTCGACCGTGACTTGGCCGACATTGTTCTGAACAACCTCGAAAACCAGCAGGACTGGACCGACATGCGCGTCCACGGCGAACACAACGACTGCAGCGACGGAAGAGACGATGTCCCGACACAGAGACACCCTCGCACCCTGTTGTCTGGCCTCCCACCGCGCCGCATGTACATCCACCCGGACGAGCAGATCGCCATCATGCGTGCCGAACGGGCGCTGGGCCACGGTGGACGCATCCCACAGCCGCCCGAGTACGAATGGGTGCTGCCAGTTCACCTGGGAGAGACGCCAACAGTGGGGGAGTTTGCAGCCATCTTTGACTCGATTGATGCGTTGCCGAGGGCGATCGACGGAGAGACGGATACGACCGCCACGTCGGCCGACGACAACGACTGGAAGGCATGGCGTGGCGCTCGGCGGGGGAAGCGTCTGTTGCTGGCCGTCGTTCAGGACGACTCATCGGTGGTCTACTACTTTATGCACGACGGCATCGTGAAGCCCAGACAGAACTGAGGACGACACGGAACGATACGATACGAAGAACGGCATAATACCACGACATCAATTTGGTCCGCCTATTTTGCAATTTCGCAGTTTCGCGCGATAGCTTTTCTATCTATTCCTCCACACGCCTACACTGTAAACACGACCTTCTGGACCTTCATGTTGTTGAACAGATCATAGCCCTCGACGGCGTCGGTGAGCGGTATGATCTTGTCAAACATGAAGCTGAACTTGTCCTGGTTCTTGGCCAGCACTGCGAGCGCATCGGAAAAGATGGAACGCACAGGGCAGCGGCCCATCTGCACGCGGACGTTTTTGCTGGAATTGTGGAATCGTGTTAGAATGGAGGTCACGGCGGGGGCGCCCGAGCTTCTGGGGGGAATGGCACTTACTTGTAGGCATCGTTGCCGTCCCAGGGAATCTAACAGAGAACGTGTTAGCGACGACGGCGAGGAAATGGACTGTGGGCGTTGGAACGATTGAGCAAGCGAAGCCTACCTCGGCATTGTGCACACCAATCGAGCTGATCACACCAAACGGCCGGATCAGGTCAAAGGCCGTCCGCAGCGCCGGGCTCAACCCGACCACCTCGACCACCGCATCCGCGCCCCGGCCCTCGGTCACCTCTTGCACCCGCTGCACCATCCGCTCCTTGTCCTCCACGAAATTGAGCGGCTCCGCGCCCAGCTGCTTGGCCAGCGCCAGACGGCTCGGCACGCTGTCGACGGCAAACAGGTGCTTGGGCTTGTGCTCCAGCGCCGCCACAATGGCGCAGAGGCCGACAGGGCCGCAGCCGACAACGACGACGACGGCGTCCGCGGGCTGCACGTTGGGCGCCAGCAGGCGGAAGGCGTTGCGCGCACCAAAGTAGCCCGTGGGGAAAATGTCGGCCATGAGCACGAGGGCCTTGTCGTCGACGTGGGCCGGCGCCTGGACGACGGTGCCGTCGGCGTTGGGGACGCGCACGAACTCGGCCTGGCCGCCGTCGAGCTTGGGGCAGCCAAACAGCAGGGACTCGTTGCAGCGCGACGACATTTCGTGTTGGCAGTAGAAGCACGTTTGGCACGATGTGGTGAAGGGCGAGACGATCTTGTCGCCAATCTCGACCGTCTTGACGGCCGCGCCCTTTTCGGTCACGACGCCGACAAACTCGTGGCCCATGATGAAGCCGGTGGCCGACGGCTGGTGGCCGCGGAAGACATGGAGTTCGCTGGGGTTCCTGTTAGCAAGAGCGGACGCATGGTGACGACAAGGGAGGGCGTGCCGGGAGAGAAACGAGAACATACGATCCGCAGAGCGCCGTGGCCTGCACCTTGACAATGACGTCATGGTCGTTCTCAACTGCAAGGCGGGAGGGCTGTTAGAATGGACGTCCACCGTAATACAATGAGACAAAAGCGTCACGATAAAAGTCATCTCGATGCTTGAATCGTGCAATGCGTATATTGTAATGCCTCCTCATTTTTGTGTGGCATGTCAGCGGAACGGGAGATGGAATTGGGTGCGTCTCCGACTCACGCTGCGGTATCGGACGGTCTTGGATCGAGACCTTGCCGGGTCCGTCAAAGACGACGGCTTTCATAGTCGCAGACATGTTGCAGCTGTACGAGCAAGAGAGTAGTAGCTTTGGACGCGGTTGGTGTTGACGTTGATGTCGAGGATGATTTGCAACATTGAATTGATGTGCCGGACGTGGGCAGATATTATGTCCTGACTTTGGCGACTCTGCGGCCGCGATACGATCGGCCTATTTTGTCCCCATGCCCCTCATTTGCAAGCTTCCACGCGGGAATAGCACCGCAATCCACACAACTGACGCCGTCTCGGAAACGCGCCAGATCTTTAAAGTAATTTACTGAACGTCGCTGCATTCCTTCACTGCACAAACGTAGTCAAAGAGCAACCGAACCACCCGACTGAAACCGGCTTTTGCGGAGAACAAGCGCGGGCAAATACAGGAGCGAATGCAGAGCGAGAGTAAGGAGAGCCTGCCACAAGCAACAAGCGGCAATCCAGTGTCGGAACTAGTGGCCGGCTTTCGTTAACGCTGGGGCTTTTAGGAGTTCTTTTGTTGATCTGACTGTAGGATACCAGCGGCTTAAGACGCCGAAGACGGCGATATCGTGATTGATGAAACGGAACACATTTTCCCCATGATACTAAGGCACTTTTTGAGAGTCGCGATGCGATGCAAATTTCAGAATTATATAATACGTCGGCCAAGTATTGTGGCTCGGTTAACTTCCGGGCAACTGCGACGGCAGGAAGGTGCAACCGTATCCGTTAGTTGGCACCTGCCTCATTTCGACTTCCGGCTCCCCCGGGACCGCACCCGGGATTGTCTACAAAATCTCAAATACGGAAGGTACGAACGGGCGAGAACCAAGCCGCCTACGACATACAAAATGTACATAAAAGGGCGGCCACCCACTCTCCAAAGTTGCCGTCCGAGGTCCAAGCTCCAACAACAGCTCCTTTCTGCACACTCAAATGGCCATTGCCGGAAAGACTCGAGGCGAGACCACTCCATGCATCCAAACACGACGTCTGACTTGCATGTGGGCACGGAGTACAAGTACGACAGCAGGTCTCTGAGGTCGTACTCCGTGCGTCGTACGCGCATGCTGAAGAAAACAAGGGACAGCAAGGCAGCAAGACAACCATTACGCGAATCGAAGGGTCCAGGCACCATGGAGGCTCAGAGAGGCTCTTGCTGGAGCACCTGCACGAGCTGCGCTAGCAGAGCCGCTTGCCGGCCACGCCCGAGACGACCTCAGCGGGGAGGCAAGTGGAGACTGCCACGCAATGCTTAGAAGGTACACAAAGACGGAAGTTGCCCGATCGGGAGAGCCCGCTGGAGTGTCCGCTGGAGTGCCCGCGGGAATGTGCCCCATACAAGTCCTTGTTGAAGTTGCCCGACCACCACTCCACCCAGACAAGTCGGAAGAAGACGACGGTGACGATAGCCATAGTGCCCCAGTGCTGCCAATGCGAGACCTGCTTTAGGAGGCAGCCTGTGCGACATGTTGGCCAGCTCCGCAATCATCAATGCTTTCGTGTGTTCGGCGTCGTCACTTTTATTTACATCAGTTTACCCCTTTCTTTCCTTGTTTTGTTTTTTCACTGCCCCCTTTCTCTATTTCCATATCCGTCGTCGTCTTTCAATAAACGCGTCGCACCTCGGTGGAAAAGCGTATGAAAAGCGGCGCACAAGGCCTCCGCCCCTCATGATTGCCAAGAGCGTTCATTCAGTTTCGAGGTATTGGTGGCGTTTTTGCCCCTAGGTCTTGTTCGTAGCATCTCAGCTGGAGACAAGGGTGTCATCGAACTGCGTTGACCCGTGGTCGTTGTAATATCCACCAGCGAGGCAGCTCCAAGTTTTCGGCATGTGTGTGTTGAAAAACAGCTCGAGGCCGGTGAGGTGGTCGAGAAATGTCACTGCACACAAAAAGGGAACCTTACAAGGAATCAACATCCAACAAAGGGGGAATTGGGAAAGGAAAATGTCCAACGCGCACGAGCAATCACAAAATTGCATATCAACATGCTTTCAAAAAGGGTCAGCTTAGAAAATGGAATAGGGGTGCCAATGTTGAGCCTTGCATATCTCGAGCCGCTGTCGTTGGGCTCCGGGCTCTCGTTCCTCTCGTTTTCGCTCTCGAAGCCTCGCATTTATATCTGCCTCAAATTTTGTTCACAGGTGGACAAATTATGCGCAGAAAGTACGAAATACGCGGAAAGGAGCTCATCTTGTTCACTGGCGGTTCGTGTTCCTGCCTCCCTGACTGTTTGTTCCCTGCCCAAGTAAAATCATTCTCCGTATCAGTGGTCGAGATTACTTCGTACTTCGCAAGACAATACGAAAGCGAACAGAACAACTCGAGGAAATTCAGCCTGCCCCCCACTCTCTAACATGATGGCGGCTCAGCCTGGCAAAACAACGACGGTTGTATCGATTCTATGCTATTGGCGGCTGAATGCTGAATTTTAGCTACTCCACCCACCGTATAGATCGCGATCCATACGAAAGACTGTCACTTCAGGGCCCCTAGTCGTCAACCCCAATACAAAGGAAAGTCTGCTTTTCTGTGCTAGCCTGGTGGCCCCCTCCAACTAACACCAAACGACGTCGACCGTTGCTCGTATGGAGTACAGAATATTGCTTCGTGGTTGGAGACTAGCTGCAAACTGCAAACGAGCACCTTCCAGTCTCCTGCACGGATTGCTGAACAACTCCGTTCCAGAAAGTCCTGATTGAAATCGGCGAGCTGACCAAACTACTTCTGGGGCAGGTAAGCGAGACACGCCGCACCTGTTGTTCTGCCTTGGTTTACGGACCACCCGGCTGGGCCAGGGCTTGTTCTTTTCGTTGGGGGGGGGGGGGTTGTCTTGTTTTCTTAGGGCAGTCTGGGGCTTGGCAATTTGGTAAAGCATGCACATGAGAGAACGCCGTGGTATTTCAGGTCCGAAAACATCCTGAAGCATAACCGTATTACCAAGACAGTTCTTAAAAATGCCTCTGCTTTTGGCGGTGTGTGTAAACGATGCAGGTTATTTTGTTTTGAGACTAAGAAACAAGCGTTAAAACGTGGCTTGCATATGGCGTAAGTTTGCGGATGAACTTTGCGGCTCGTTTGGTGTCCATTTCTTGTTGCTGAGTCGATTAGCTTGATGTCTGATTGCTTTAGCCTCCCCATTTCTTGTCTCTGTTTAATTCCAACCTTGTACGGAAGTACTTGTCGAGTTGTCCTACGGAATTTTGCCTGCCGACAGTAGTTCGGTGGGCATGGGTTCCATGGGTTCCGTTGCTTCGAAGGTTGCCATGATCGTGACGCATTTGCACCACTTCGACTTATTTAGCTTCCAACACGCTTGGCTTCATCAACAGGCCAAAAACGCGACGCGACGAAACAAGAAGAAAAAGCCACTACCTCAAGGGCATTGGCACACATGGCTACTTTCCTTGCTTCCTGTCCCTCGGCACCATACGTCGAACATCGCGCGGAGGACTATTTTCTTGCGTAGTTGATGCATTTGCGGCGTGTTCCTAGCCAGCAGGGGTTTTCCGAGGAGCAAAAAGAACCAAAGCTGAGCTAGTTTGACAGCAAAAGATGAAATAACAAGGGACATGGATGGGGGTGGAGCTTGGGCTGAAAGGCAATTCAGCAACACTCCCGTATTCGGCCTTGATGCTGTCCGCTTTTAAGATTTCAACTCTCGGTCATCGTTTCTTGGTCAATGTGCGGAATGGAACACGTCGTATTCGGTCACAGGCCCTTCTTCTATTCAGCAAGAATGGGCAACAACAGCCTGCTTCGTTCATTGCTGGAGTCGAAGCTACGGTTGTCTCTGTGGACAATGGTAGATGCGTCGACTTTATAGTTTTCTTTTACTTGTACAGTCTGTATGACACGAGACATGAGCCTCTCCTCCTTTGTCTGCTTCCTTTGTCTTGTCGTGTCCTATGTGCCCAATGTACCCTTTGTGCCTCGTGCTGCTGTACTTTGTATCTATTGTTTGCTCATTTCCTCCTGATTTTGTTATTTCTTTGTCCCCTTCTCAGCCTTGTCAATGCCGACCAAGGTCATCCCATCCCAGTCGCCCCTCACTGTTCCAACAACACGCGGGCTCCACTGTCACCCCAGGGTATCCGAGGCCAATCCACAGACGAGTTACTGTAAGGTCGACGCAATACGTCGTATTCCCGTCGCCTCTCCTGGTATCCCCCAACTGGCTGGATCCCTGTTCGAAAGATGGAAAAGACAGAGAAGTAGAAGAAAGAAAGGAGAAAATAAGGAGAACGAGATGGACGACAGAGTGCCAACAGCATTGACATTGCGGCGTGTTTCTCTGTCATCAATGCTCCCTCCTTCTTTGCTGGACTTTTACAGAGTTTGCGGCTCCTGGAGACTCTCCATCTGATGTCTGCAAAGGCCGCAGTGGCGGGCGGCACGGCGCCATACTCCAAACGGCAACGACGCGTGCTGGATCCGGGCGGACACTTGCCGTTTTGACTGCGGGAGGAGAGTTTGTCCACCACCTTGAGATTTTTTTTAAAAAACATTTTTTTTGTCCTTTTGGTATGTTACGGTCGTCACTGTCACCTCGAGCATGGTGCTAGGCGCCAAAACGCAGCAAACCGCCTTCTTTTGATTAGGTTGTCGAGGCTTGTGTATTTTGTCCCTTCCTTTTCTTGTTTGTCTATGCGTTCTGGACGATCGTTGCGTGCATGTCGAGGAACCAGCGCGGCCTTGTGGTCTTTGCATCTTCTGTTGACTATTAAACTATGCTGTTCACTTACCTCGTTTGCTCTTTCCTTGGCGAAGCCTTTCTCTCCTTGCCTCATTGCCTCATTAGTGCCTTGTTTATGTTGTTGACGGTTGCTCCTGCTGATCTTGACAAACCGCCTCTTGCTCCTGCCTTCTTTGATTCTGGTCTGCCAGATGTGTGAAAATCGCCTAACGTTGCTATATTTGGTGAGAAGGCTTCGAGCAAGCCATTTTCCATATCACTCTTCATTTCGTCTAAAATGCTCATAGCACGGAATATGGGTTCTCCAAAAGTAAGAATAACTCGTGCGCCACGGCGATAGCTGACACTTCTTAGCTGACAGACTTACGCTAGCGCATTTGCACTTTTTTTGCTCTTTCCGCGTGTTGCTTCCAAATACCCAATAGGCAGGGGTGGCCGTTCCTTCCCGCCGCCAATCTGAGTTCTCACAAATAGGACTATAGGAAATAAACATCTCCTCGGTCAATAAGTGAGCGGCCTGGACCAACGAGCCGGAAGAACACAGCCTGCAATATGGAGAGAACAAAAGAAATATGGGCAAAGGAGAGTAAGACAGATTAGAGTTGTCAGAATAGAGTGTCTCACAAACGGCAAGAAACAAGCATGTGGCTGGAAAATTCCATCACTCTCCAAAAGCATCAGGCAGGAACAGAAAACAGGCAGCAAGGAAAGAGCAGCCGACCGGCATCAGTGTCCCCCTCTTCCCATTTCATCCTTCTCATTTCGCAACCTCTCAGCATCGCCAGAAGGCAAAGCGGAATGCAAAACAAGAACAACAACCAACATATGGGCACCAACGTGTATCCTGCGCTCCTGTTTGTCTCCGAACAGCCCCAAGTCACATCAGCCGCCCCGCCCTTCTCGCTTCCCTCGCCCGACCGCTTCCCGCACTGGTGTGGGTGATTGTGTGTGGGCAATGGACTCTTGCTAGAAGGCTCAACGAGATGGCGTTCCTTCTGCTTCCTTTCTCACTCTCTCCCCTCTTCTGTTCTGCTCCCGTCCGCCTACGCGTATACGTCGTATTATTCATAAACATTGTCCACTCCAAACTTGCCTCGAGGTGGCCCTTGTTTTCTAGGCCCGCGTCTATTATTCGGGTCTCGCCTACGCTTCAGCCATCGAACGACAAACAGTTACCATCTAACGTTTTCTTTGTCTCGCGGACCGTCAAACTATTTTCCACTAGCACTGGGCGGGCCCATCCTTGAATAGAACCTGATCCCTGCGTGTACGTACCAATCGCGGCTGCCCCACCCCCCTGCTGCTTCCCGAGCCTTTTTTTGTTTGTGTGGACCTTGCGAAGAGCCTCTTTTTGCTTGTCTCTTTCTTGCTTGTCTTCGGCTGTCTCTTGTCTGCCTTTCGCTCTGCCCTGGGGTTTTTTTCATTGCATTTCATCCTGTTATCCACTTCACGGAACGTGCAATACGAAATACGCGTTCGCGTGTAAAGTCAATACGTCAAGCTCGAGCAACTTTACTTTTTAGCCTTTTCTTTTTGTTTTTTGATTTGATCATTGGCGCGTATCTGTCTGGTCCCGTTAAATGAGTGCCTCACGATTTACATGCGTCCGACTTATACGCATCACGAACAATACGCCATATTTGAAATGATACCAAAAAAGTGCAAAGTGGAAAGAGCGACGTAGCGAGAATATTGGGGAGCAATGTATCTCACCATAAGACTCACTGGTAACCCTCAGCAATTGATCACATTGTCCCCTCTTTCTTACTTTATTTATATTTTCGCTGAAACCAGGCCACCCTTGACGCTTCGTTAAGACGCAGTATCTCATGCAGAACAGCGCAGCAGTGCAGGAGGTAAGCTTTCCTTCTCTCCTTTGTGTTTATGGGGTCCATAGCCAACGAGGACATGTTCGTGGACTTTACTACTCCTTTCCGGAATCAAAACTCGACTCCTCCCCGCAGGGTAGTGAAGTGCGCGAAGCCAACGAGGCCCCTGGCCAGGTGCCGGGATTTTGGCTGTGCCCCTCAAAACGCTCGCTTCCTTTGGTGGGATTCGAACCTCGCAAAAAGAAAAATGATAGGAAATGGCGGGCAACAACAGGAGGATAGCACATACCCACTTTTATTTATGCTACCTCAAAAGTATTTGTATTTGTTTCCTCTGTACGTGGGCATGATTTTCATCCTGCAACTGTAATTCGTCCACGACAGTTGTGAAATGCACTTTCCTGCCACAACAAGAGCAGCTGCACGGGTTGGGAGATGTTGGGGCGTACTACGAGACGTCCTGTTGGACATGGGTGAGGCTTTTACATGGAGGCTTCGGAAAGGAGGCTCTTTGAAAGGCTCTTTGGGGCTCTATTTTGTGCATATATGTGCGGGTGGCGAAATCCTTATTTGAAAGTCTCTCTTGTACTCACTTCTGGACATATTGAGGGGGGAAACGAGGCGCTGGTCACCACATCGGCCGCAAGTTAACGGTTCTACAGTCCCTCACCGATCCTGCATCGATGCAAATTGCACTCAGTTCATCCTTCGTCGTGAATCCTTTGGTCCCAAACTTTTCCTGGCTTATGCGGGCTTAACGCGCTTCGCATCTTACGGCACAGGACAGTTTTTTGTCTTTTGCAGAGTCTACTTATCTTTATCTCATTACCCGCTCTGGCCTCGTTCCTCTCGTACTTTGTAGCCTTTTTGAGTTTTATTTTGGTTTCTGTACGATGTACGGAATGCGGATTCGTCGTATTACCCACACAGAGGTTGCGGCTTCGCGTCTCGCTATTATGGGAATGAGACCTTTTTTCATAGCCTCCTCGACAGGGGTTAGTTTTCCTGCAAGACTCCTACCTCTGCCAATGGTGACAATTAATTGGTACGGATGATGATGTTGACAAGGCTTGCACTGCAGTCCACCCAAGCTGCAGTGTAAGGACAAGTCTCTGGTCTCGCATATGCTACTTTATTCCTTTTTGCCAACGGTTTAACTTTCCTTCAACTGTCGGTCTTACGCAGCCCAGACGGGCTGTTGGACACTCCGCTTCCTTCCCCCTCGGCCTTTCCCCTCTTTACAATCGAATCAGTTATTCTTTGCGTCCAGAATATTCTGACGGTTACTTCAAGACCGTTTTCTCCTTTCCCATTCCGTCTAAAATACACCTTGGATTGCCTTCGATATATCCACATGGGCCCGCCATGCATTCCTTGTCTGTCTGCACCTTTGAAATGCTTTGCTCAGACCAATCATGGGCCCAACCCCGCCCTGGAGTTCTGCTCTTCCTTGCACTAACAAATATTTGGGACTCAACCAAAGAGCTACATCGTGCATCAAGTTGTTTGGCATAGATTCTCAATTTCTTTTGACCCAGGAGCTTACCGTCTCTGCCTAGACAACGACGCCCCCAAAACGCTCGCTACCTGTCCTGCGAAACGGTACAGAGATGACTGCGTCTCATTTTTAACCTTCCCCTCCCGCAGTGAGATATAATTTCTGACCATCCCAACAGATGAGGCACAGAGTCCAAGCAATGCGGCACCCAAAATGGGGCCTTTAGTAAGAAAGGGGGACAGAAGTAAGATTGAGACGGCTGTGATCCCTCAGCAATCTTCTAAGCATCTTGCATTTTCATCCCCTTGATGTTTAAAAACAAGTCTCTCCACAAGTTTGGTTTCGTACTGTTACCCTGCTCCTCTATGGTTGCAGTGGTTCCTCTGGTTCTTGTCTTGCCCTGTTTTCCTGGTTGTTGCTGTCGGTTGGCTTCTGCGCACCTCACTCCACTCACTTCTCAGCATGTAACACACCCCCCTGATGCCATGCCACAACCCCCTGCACATTCCCGGTAGCGCAGGGCTTGACAGGGAATCGGGCCAGAACGCAAGGGCATCAGCCGCCAGGACGTGGTCGCAGCCCGCCTTTTCGGCCATAACATCATCTTCAACGGCCAGCAATGGAGACTGAAGAGGGCCAGACACAGCACACCAGTTGCTGATCTCTCCCTAATCTCTGCCATTGCGTATCAATTTTTTCTTCTTTTTCTTTTGCTTCTTTTCTGGGTTGGATACCACCTTTCGATACTTTTTTTGGTACTCTGAGATTGTCACCTCCTTTTACTGCCTTTCGTTCTTGCCTCGTAGAAACTATGTATCTCCAGCTCGTTCCTTCCTTCCTTTCTTAAAATCCATTACGAAGGCCGAAGGCAACAGCGATTGGTGGCACCTTCCGCCACCAGAACTTGATCACAAGGTGGCCCCTTTCCCCCGGTGAAGCATCATTCCCACCTTTTCCTCTCTTTCGCCTCTCCGTGTCCCCTCGTTGATTTGCTGCCTTCTTATCCCACTCCCTCATTCTCACGCGGACACGCATCCTCGTTAGCTAAGCCCACCGGCGACGTACATCCAGTTGTGCACTTTTATGTCTCCTTTCACCAACATCCACAGTCCCACCACGTCCGCCACATCCACATCATCTGCCACCGCCGTGACCTCCAAAGGAGACGCGTCAACAAGGGGCAGAGCACCAGTCCCCGAGCCAAACGGCTTTCTGGTCCCTGTTGTCACTCCGTCTCGCCCTTGGCGTCATCAGCCTCAACCCCCAATGTCCACATCGCCGCACCGCCCGAGTCCTACGAATGTATTAGCCGCCTTCCGCCGCCGCCAAAAATAGTCAAAGTCAAGACCCTGTGTTCAGTGTGGCAGGACCGTAAGGCAAGAAACGAAACGAAACGAAACGAAACACACGCGCTCGCTCGCTCTCTCTCTGGCCTACTCCCGGATACCAGCAGACGGTCTGCAGCCTAAACAAGAAACAAATCACAACGCGCCGGCTGCACTTGATGGTGCCGCACAACATCATCCAAGGGCCACAATAAAACAATCCGACCTCGGACCAAGCATAGGAATATCGAGCACAAACGCCACACCAAGTCTGCAGCTCTCTCTCTTATTTTTTTATTTTATTTCCCAGTGCTATATTCCCGCCAGACACTCCAGCAACAACAACCGCGGCCGTGTTACGCAAGCCCGCTTTTTTTCTTTGAAATCGACTGACAAGGAAAGGACACAAAGCCAACCAAAACTGAAAGAGCCTGGCCCAAACGCCAAAGACAACGGACCGAGAGTGTGGTAGTGGCCTAACCTAGTTCCTGGCCTTGCCACGCGGCGAGGACGACAGCTCCCACCTCAGGGTCCATAAAGTTAAGCAAAGAAGAGGCACATAAACAAAACAGAAAAGAAAGAAAGAAAGCGTGAAAGCAAAAGACGAAGACTGGGGGAGCCATTCAAGCTCCTGGCCCACTGTCCTCAACACCGACAGCTCTAGAAGCCCAGACCGAGAAGGGGAAAACAGGGACACAGACAATCCCCAAATCCCACGACCAACCAACCCAATCTCTTTCTTGGTCTCCTATTACCTTGTGTCTCACAGCCTCCTGCCTCTCCACGCCTCGACTTTGCTTACCCGCCTCGATCATTTATTCGCCTTCCACACTAAGCAAATTGGCGCGCAAACGTTGCGCACTTCTGCAGTTCCTCCCCGCTGCTCCGTTGGCACGGAGTACGTGCTTTCTGGATTGCAGCCATTGCACTGCATGCAAGAGTGTGTGCCTTGTTTACTCTCGTTGGGCTTCTGTGCGCACCACCACCCCCTCGTTGTGCGAGCTCAAGTGCACATGTGTGTGCCTGTGTCCAATATAGCGGCAACACTCGACGCTGATTGCAGTTAACAAAAGGGAAATAGCCGGACGGCACACCAACCTCCAATCTCTGAGACAGCTGCAGTACTTCGATCTAGCTGTAGCATCTCGAATCTCATGGGCCGCTGTCTCGCCTTGTCAACTCCCGTCCTGTCCTGAGGCCTCGCCTTGTCATCCTGTCTCCTCTCTTTCCTCCAGCTCCGCCGTGGCATACCCAACCTACCTTTCCCCGTCTCGTCTCGTTTTTTCCCCTTCAACTCTTCAGCCGCTTGGCCCCCTCGTCGGTTCTTTGCCGTCCATTCTCGTACTAGTCCCCCTTGGTCTTACCCACAAACAACTCTACGTCTACAACCTTTGTCTAACATCGTCTGTCTTACTTGGCCTGGTTGTTTACCTTGCACAGCTTTTATTGTCTGTTCATCCTGTGCCTTCGTGCACTCCACCCCATGGCGAGCTGATGCCACCGAGGCCCACCTCCTGGAACTTCTCTGACTGTCGTCAAGAGTCCTCCGAACATCCTGATCCTCTATTCCCCCCCTGCCCTTGTCTTGGGTCATCTACTTCTTCTCCCCCCCTCCCTCTCACATTCACCTTCTTTTCCCCGTCTTCTTTATAATATCGAGCCGTCCCCTTTACCCAACGGGGACGAGCACGGCCGGAAGATATGAATACGGTACACTCCACCAGCGCCACCCTTGCCTCCCTCAACTCAGCAGATGTCTACGATTCCGATGGCATCGACCCGCGGGAGAGCCCGCCCCTACAGCAAAAGACGCTGAAGCTGCGCATAACTCCTAGCCCCCCGCCCAAAGTGACTGAAGTTAGTCGTTCCTCCCTGCACTCCTCTCCCTCCACCTCCCGTCGCCGTTCCTCTTCTAATCGTCGTCGCAAGGCCAAACCGTCACTCGGACAGACTGTGCTTCTGCAGTACATGGCAGGCGGGCGGAACCCTGATATTGCTCATTTTGCCAGCCAATGTGTCCCCTCTGACGAGTCTGAGGAGGACGAAGACGACGACGAGGACGAGGATATTGGCCGGACCCGCGAGTCGACCTCGGAATTCCTAAACAACGACTCGGACAGCGATAAGGACGACGACGAGGATAGCACGGACGAGGACGATCACCGGAGGAGCCACAAGGAGATATCCGACCAGAACCACAGACGTCTGTTTATTGGAGAGACAACGCGACGATACTCAACAGACGCCAGGCCGTCAAGGCCAGAACAGCAGCAGCAGCGATCAGTACACCGTGAAGGGCGTGAAAGGTCTCCAAGAGGCAAACAACGACAGCAATCACCTACCAGCCTTCTGACATTAGACAACGGAGATGACGCCATGTCTCTGGACGAACCTAGCCCTCCGCCACAGAGGCCGCCGCAGCAATCACATCAGCACGGCCGGCAGCAGCAAGAAAAGCCGGAACGGAGTCCTGAACATGACAGAAAACAACGACATGCGAGATCCGGAGCCGCCAGTACAGTCCCTTTAGCGGGCGCAAACCTAGCTGCGATAGCAATGGCTGCGGCGGGAGCCATCGCGAATCCAGGCCAGAGTGTACAGCCATCCGATGTCACAATACCGCAGACAACCTCCATCAGTAACAGGCCTGATACGAGCCTGGCTCCCCCGCCGCCTCCGCGCTCACCAGGAGCCAAGAGAGACCACAGTGGCGCTCTCAAGCCCATATCTATCGCACCCGGTGGCCTTCGCTTGGAAAGCATCGTATTGTCCCCGCAACAACAGCATGGCGGCCGCCCGGCTGGGCCTATGGACGCCGCAGGTAGCAGGAGCGGCGGTGGCCTCAGTCCAGAACAAATGCGCCGCCAGTACTCTTCCTCGTCGCAAAACGCCGTTCCCGCATATTCGCCTCGCCCCGGCAGCACCGCGTCACACCAGGACCAGCAATCCGACCAGTCCCAATTACTTACTCCGGCATCCGCCGTAACGCCCGGGGCAATGTCCGCTTCCTCGACGACATTTCCACCTCTTCTTTTGAGAGACGACCGCTCTGTGGTTGGCAGCACTGGAGCCTCGTCACTCGCCACACCCTCATCTACACACTCGCCCAACGACTACCACTCCCCTTTCTCACCAAATGGTACCGGTGTCGCTGCATCCCCGGCGCAGATCACGGCATTCTCGCCGCTAAACCAAGCTGACGTCCACGTCTACCGACAATCCACTGGTAGTTCCCTGCCGTCGCTACCGCCGATGCAACCGTACGGCTCGCCACGAAACGATATACATAGCGCCGCGTCTCCTATGTCTGCAAATACCCCGGCGGGCCATGCTCCCAGCAACCACAGCAGCAGTGGCAGTGCTGGACAGTCACAGCAAACCCTGCTCCCGCCGATCCGTGAGCACCTCGCGGGCCCCCTTACGGAGTCTAGCCCGACAGGCCCAGAAACCCGACGACCGCCACAATTCATTCCGCCTCCGACTGGGTACACACGGCTCCCTTCCATGTCACATTCACACCACTCGTCGCCCGCATCTCCAGACGAAATTTATCGTCGGAACAGTGACCATGCGTCGCCAAACAGCAGTTCCGGGAATTTTGGAGGCCAGCCTGGCAGTAGTCAGTCCTACTACGCTCCGCAGACTGCACACTTGAGCAATCATAGCGGCGGCCACCGTGGTACGGCCGAGTACGGCGCAGACACACCCACTTCAGAACCACATTACAGCACACCTGGGTCGACTGGCCGGCCAGCCGCCTCCCCTGGACACCTATTGAACCCGATGGTGACGTCTCCGCTACCGGGGCCCGGTAGCATGGTTCTCCCTCCGGTCAGACACGACAGTACGCCGCGCCAGCAACCATCGATCGAGTCTCTCACCAGTCACATGCAGCCGCACTCGCCCAATGGCCAGCATATGCCGCCGCCGCTCGCTCACCCTCAGCAACCGCCGCTACAACGACCACCACAGCCGTCGCATACGACAGCCCAGGGCCCGTACAAGTGTGAAGTGCCGGGCTGCACCGCCGCGCCTTTCCCGACGCAATACCTCTTAAACTCACACGCCAATGTGCACTCCTCTGCACGGCCGCACTACTGTCCTGTCCCTGGCTGCCCGCGAAGCGAAACCGGCAAGGGCTTCAAACGCAAAAATGAGATGATCCGTCATGGTCTTGTGCACCAGTCGCCGGGCTATGTGTGCCCGTTTTGTCCGGACCGGGAGCACAAGTACCCGCGTCCAGACAACTTGCAAAGGTACGACATGCAATGTACCCCTCCCCTGTATTTCAAGCTTTGTTCTAACCCAGTCATTTATAGGCACGTCCGTGTTCACCACAAAGAAAAGAGCAAAGACGATCCGCTTCTACGCGATGTCCTGGCTCAGCGCGCGGAGGGTCCCAGTCGAGGCCGCCGCCGACGCCTGTAAATGCCGGTTCGAACAATACAACAAGTTGGTGGTCTACATTCCATCTACGGTTTTGATTACATTGTCACCTTGCATATCATATACTGGGTTTGATATGGGCGGACAAAGAAAAGGAGCTCGTGCTATGTACGAGACTATTGTGTTTTCTAGCGTCTATTGGTGTTTTTTTGTGGCCTTTATACGTTTCTTTATCGGATTTTCACATTTTGATGCCCAAAACCTAGCCATTTTGTTTATTTTTGCTAGGTTTATTTCATGACATACCCCTTTTCTGTTTTTCTCTTCACGTTTATAATTTATACTTACAAATCACATTTACATTACTTGCCACATACGTTTTGCTTTTCATCAGTCTGCAGTGAATCAAACCAGGTGTTCGTTAGGTACCGGAAGACGGTGTGGCACGATAGCGTTGCCCGTGGGACCGTCTGTATTTACCGTGCCCTGCCCGCAGACTTGAGGACGGAGCATGATGGCGCTTGACGTTTCAATGTAGGCGAGATCTCCATGGCCAATCGAGTTCGGCATATGCAGAGTTCGGCGGCTATCCCTGGGCAGATGCTTGTCGATTTCGATATCGCGGCGCATCTCATCGACCAAATATACACTGTGACCCTTTAGAGCCGGGGTTACGACTTTTCGGACTGGTTTTCCGCCGTGCACCAGTTCGACACGGCCTGTGCTGCCAGCGCCGACAAATGAGCCCTATGCGTCGTCGAGTTAGCAAAGCAGACGTTGCAAAGGAAGATGGAACGTGGGCTTCTTTTTCGTCATACACAAGACTCAACGGTGTCTGGGTTCGTCGTATCATCACTTTTGGTGCCTGTTTTTCTTTCGCAATTGTCAAGAAGTTGAACGGGCCGGGAAACGGTAGGATAGGATATTGTTCACCTGCTGATGGAATGATAAAGCGTACAAGGTCCCATGTACCACCTATTTACATGAGCGGGGGATGAGCGCAGATGACGAATAGTGCTAGCCAGAGCGGCCCGTGCCCGAAACGCCAATAACTCATGTATGTTTTCTCTTCATGTCTCTCATTACAAATATTCGCATTTGCATTATTGTCTACCGTCTGTCTCATTGTTCTCCTCGCACCAATGCGTCGGCGAGGACCAGCGAATACCCGCTGCTGTACGTGTATCGGCTGTACCTCGCTCCTCCGCTCCCAGAGAGAATGGACGCACTTCTTATTTGCAGCTTACTTTTCCTCACGTATTAGATATTGTTTACTTTCTTTGATGCGCCTCCTTGACGTCTAGCTAACGCTACGTTTGTCGCCAGCTGGCAGGTGGGTCCACAAGCTGTAAGTGCTGGCCAATCATACTGCACAGTTGCCACAGCGCTCTTCGAATGCTTCTCCGTCCCGCCAATGGGCCCCGCCTACCAAAACGAGAAAAAAACTGGTGCGCTTAGGTGTGCTGCGGCTGGCAGCTGCTCTGATCAAGCGCGGGGGATTCTTTTTGCCCAGGCGAAAAAAGTTGCTCCAAACGAGAATGTGGTCGCCAAAAAGATCTCCTGATGCTCGACCGCGAAACAATAGCTTGACCTCAAACCCCCTTCCAACCCGTCCCGCACAAACAGCACAGCGTTCAATTGCAATTGCTCGATCGACTACGGGCTCGGGCAATTGGCGAGAGTGGGAGTCAACCTAACACGAAAGAAGCGAGCAGCGAAGCGAAACATCGAGAACCGAGCAGCCACACACAGCCGACATGGCCATCCCGACACCACCACGCAGCGTCTCGGACGCCACGCGCTTCACCTCGACGACACCCCACGCCTGGAGCGCTGCTGCCGCCGCGTCGGTCCGCCGCGCCACGTCCTCACAAGCCGCCTTCGCTTCCTCTTCCTCCTCGACCTCCTCTTCCAACACCTCCCGCTTCCAGAGCCCCGCCAGCAGCCGGCCACCCGCGGCAGCACAATCCAAAGCTGCACGGCGAGGCGCCACACCGGCGCCGGGTGGCCCGCGGGGCCCGCGGGGCCCGTCCCCTGCCGGTGGTGCCGCGGCGCCTGTTGCTGGCGAGACCCCCGAGCAGAAAGTCGCCCGTCTCCGCGCCGCACACCAGGCGGCCAAGAATGCAAAAGTTTCGCAGCTCGACCGCGTCATTGGCGGCACGCGCCGTGTCTTTGACAACGCCCACCGCTTTACCATTGTCGGCCTGATTGGCTTTACCGGTAGGTCAGACCAGTCTTTATTGTTTTTCTTTCTTTCTTTCTTTTTTTCTCCATGTCGTCTAACGAACCTCGTTCCCAGCCATCGCCGGCTTGTTGACGGCGTACACGACCGTCGACATGCTGCGATTCAACAGCCGCCGCAAGAAGGAGTTCCAGGCCGCCCAGCAGCAGATGGACGCCGACAGTCTGGCGGCCGCCCGCCTCGCGTTTATGCGCGGCGACGCCACGCCAGCACAGGCCGCCATGGTCGAGGCAGCGCACGAGCACGAACAGGCGGTGCGGAGCAGCGCGGACGGCGGTGCTGCTGCTGCTGCCGATGCCAGCCGTGGCGAAGCGCCCATTTTCAAGGTGCCGAGCCTGCTCGGTGCGCCTGCGCCGGTGGCCGCACCGGTGGCCGCACCGGAACAGGAGGCGGCGGCCACGACGTCGACAGATGCGTCGTCCTGGGGCGGTGGCATCCGCTCGTGGTTCTCGTCGACGCCGCGTGCCAAGGAAGAGGACGATGCGAGCAAGGCCGCCGGCGCGCCGCCGAAAGAGAGGGACACGGGCCGGGCGCTGGAGGAGAAGCAAAAGGCGGCCGCCGCCGCGTACCAGGCGATTACCGACCGGGCACGGCAGGCACTGGACAGTGAGCGCGCCAACCAGCGGGACGGTGGCCCGCTGGACCGACTGGGACTGGACGACAAGAGCCACGGCACGGCGATCCCGGGTAACCCGGCTGCCACTCCCGCTGCCAAGAAGAGCTGGTGGCAGGTGTGGTAGAATGGTGCCGGCGAGGGGACCTGGGGCCGTGGGTGAAAAAATCGATGGGCAGGTTGCTAATGGTGACTTGTCCATTGGCTGTATATTATCAAATCCTACAAGAGAACCGGTGGCTTCTTGTTGCATTCTATTTTTACATTACATCTCTCACATTCATGTCGTCTATCTTCTTTGCATTTCATGGTGTCTCTGGGACAGCAGAGACTTCTGCTTGATATAGTCCAAAATTCACTTGTCAAAATCATGAAGCAGCAGGAAAACATAAGTTTAGCGTTGCCAATGTTCGTTTCAAAATCCAACGAAGAAGGTCTTTCCGCTGGTCTGGATTTGCATTGTAGTTCTGCTGTCTGGTCGTGTTCTCATTATAGTGTACTAATAAAGTAATACAGGTAAGGAATGGAAGGGGGTATTAGTCGGTATTAAAAAAGGAGTGAATGCCAATAAACATAGTGCACCGTGGTAGAGGCGTCGCAGTGTATCCCCCGTTGTTGTTCTGAGCAGGGGCGATCTGCTGTTGATGTAAGTCGAGAATGAATGTGTGACAAGTCCGTGGAGCCCGGGCTGCCTAAAAAAAGCAATGAAAAAAAAAAAAAAACCTTGAAAGTCGCCATGCTGTGGTGAAAAGCAATGAAAGAAAAATATAGACACGCTGTAACGGAAACCGAAAGAACGCCGTAGGAAAATGGAACAAGGAACTGGTAAGAAGATGAAATCGAGGGCTTGAGTGATATTGGTCGGCAATTACTGCTTGTCGCAAAACCCGCTTAGAGAAGTCAGGGAAAGAGGCCAGTGTCGGCGTGGAAAGAACGGAAAGTAAGCTCAGCGAAGAGTCGTATCAATCGCAGCCGCTGTGAGAGCTACTGGTTAAAACTCGGCGCATTGGAAGCTGGAATGATAACGCTCGATAGCAGGCCTGTCGACGCAGGCACAGTCTGGCAAGGACGGCAGCCTGTGAGAGAAATGGCTTTGTCGTCACTGCCCAAGATGTAGATCTTGCCAGTCTGGAGAGGCCGGTCGCCAGCGCTAATGTTTCGAACATTCTCTTCGTCTTCTCGGTCGGCAGCAGGTAAAGGTTCCTGCAACGTATCGGCCCCGGCCGGTTTAAATTCATCGAGCAGCTTTCGAATGCGTAACCGTTTCGCCTGGATGCGAGCACGGCGTTGCGCAGCATCAGAGAGCACGGCCTCGGTCCGGTCGCTTCGATTCGCTTCCCTCCTTGACCGACTGGTTGTGTCGGCACTGCCCTCAGGAGGTCCGACAAGCACGGTTCTGCCTCTCTAAGAAACGATAATATGGTTGAAATGGCCGGGAACTCTATTGCGGCACTTCTCACAGTCGGCCCGGTAGCCTATGCTGAACGACTTCTTCATTCCAGGCTGCTGGGTCCAGGCAACAATCGTGTGGCGACTGCGCGTGTGGCCCTTCCGGGGAGACGGTGTAGCGGCGGGATCGCTGTCGAGGGTGCTGCCGCTTCCGCGGATCGGGGACGACGCCGCCATCGGCGTATGCGAATGCATGGCGGACGATCGGGTCGGTGTTCCAAGGAGATCGTCGTCATGCTCACCGCAACCCTCGATGTTCTCGTGGCCGGGCGATTGTCCGAGTCCTCCTTGCAGGGCCATGCTGTCGAGAACCATATCGGGGCTGCCAGCTGCTTCCTCGCCACCGCTCTCGCTGATCGGCGAAGGCAGCGACCGGTTCTGGACCATGGACCACTCGCCCAGGACAGCAGGATGCTCCAGAGAGCGAGGCACGGAGCGGTCCTCAGCCGCGACGGGGTCGGTCGGAGTGGGGGCGACCATGCTGTTGTGCATAACGTTGCCGGCCGCACCGCCCCAGTTGTTGCCGCGAACTTGGACGGCGAAGCTGGGCTGGATCGGCGTCGGCATACGGCTGGCAATGACGGAGTCCTGGTCGGGTTGCGACGGACCGGGCACGAGGTGCTGATGCTGCTGCTGCTGCTGCGCGTGGTTGACGTGTGCAGGGGGGCTCAGCATGTCGTCGGTGGCCATATCCATGTCCATGTCGCTGCTCTCGACGACAGCGGGGACACCGCTCTGTTGGCCGTAGATGGACTGCTGCTGCTGAACCGCTGCATGTTGTGCGGCATGCTGCGGTGCGCTCTCCGAGAAGGAGCCCGGTGGGGTTATGGCGGGATCAGGGCGCTGTTGGCCGGCATCGGCCCCTACGGCAAGATCCCATTTTCGCGGTGAGGTCGGCGACGTCCTAAACGGCAGTGTTTGCAGCCGTTTCTAGAAATGACGGTTTAGTAATTGCACATGTTCGCAGGTTGCGGGGGATGCGGACAAGTGTATATCCCGTGCGTCCAGGTCCAGTTGTAAACAATGCCAACAATGCAAGTGCAGCTGCATCGGCAATTCATGTCATCGCTATTTCGACAATTTGCAGAATGAGAAGCATTTCACTGCATCTCGATAGCACAAATGTGGGAGTGAGGGAATGGCAAGGACGCAGGTTGGGATGGCTTACATTTCTGTGCTCGGTAAAGCCCACGGTCGACCCATTCATGCCATCGGTAGCCACCTCGTCCTCATGGAACCGTTTTAATGGACCGCGAGGATAGTCAAAGTCCGAAGACTCTGGTTGTGAGGAGAACATGGTGGCAGCAGCTCTTTGTGTGCTTAACAAGAGAGCTTCCCGATGGTTGTGAGATGGAGATGACAAAAGACGTGAGGTTCGTCGTATTGGTTGAGTCGATAAAATGAGAGCGAAAGCGGAACGAAGAGAAAAAGAGAGTGGCGAAAGACGAGTCGAGAGAAGGGGAAAGGGAGGGGATGCCGAAAAGGTGGGCACCCGTGAAGCAGGGCGAATCCGATAGCAAAGAAAGGCGAGTGAGATCGAACGAAGCGTAGGCTTTTCGGCCTCTGGCGTCCTTTTGTGGCGGGGGTTTGGTGACGAAGAGGAACCAGATGTGCTAAAAACGTAGCTGGGCAGATCGGCGTGCGGAGTATTAAATGTTTTGTAGTGGGAGTTTAGCTGGGCGGCAGTGGGTGTGGCGTGGTTGGTGGCACTAGCATTGCTAAGAATGACAACCGGTGATCGATACTGGTATTATTGAATGGGATGATACGAAGCGTGCAATGGCGACAGTCAACAAAGGGAAGAAAGAAGAGAGGAGAAAGCGATGTCGGAATTTGGTGAGAATGGAAATGGTGACAAGATGCACGAACGACGAAAATGAGGAGGGAAGGAGCAAAGGAGACTGGTTGTTGTCCTTTTTTGTGTCGGAGAATGTGGCTTGCAGCCGAGCCAGGAGTGTTGCCGTTGACTCGAACTTGCGACACGCAAGGCACAGTAAAATCGACAGGGGAGGAAGGAGGTGACTGCAGAGTGCTGGAAGAAAAGCGCCTGGCGAGGTTGGCTGCTGGACCGGACTAGAAGGCAAGTGCGACCCAGCTAAAACCACAGTGATGGAGCAAGTCCTCCTACAGGCCGGTGATAGTGTAATGGATGGTAGAATAACGGTGTTCCGACAACGCCACAGAAAAGAGGCAGGACCAACCGGATGGTAAGGGACGTGCTGAACTAGACGTATTGTGCTTTATGATTCACTGTTTATTTTGTCCGGCATCGAACTGGGCGCATTGAAGACGGGTGTTATAGACGAAGTTGGTTGGACGAGGTGGGAAGTTCGGGGTAAATAAGGAAAACAAAGGAAATAAACGGCGGGCACTATAGAGTGACCAAGAAACAAAATAGACGACTCGTCGAGATAATGAAGACCAGAAGGGAAGCAAAGGAGAACCTAAAAAACAGGCAAAAATGGATAGAAAACCAGAATCAAGGTGAGACAAGAGGATAAAAGAACCTGGAATGAGTACGGAGTGAAGCGAGGCAGTGTTGAGGTGTGGCGATGTCGACAAAGAGCAGAAAGAAAAGGGAATTTTGAAGTTGGCGAGGAAGAGTGAAAGTACAAGAGACAAGTAAACACCGGGGTCATGACCGTAGACATATGAATATGGAGCGCGTATGACCTTTCTCGGCGACAATCGCGAGACATTCACGGACTGGACATCAAGGGACATCCACAGTACGCAAACAACATTGGAGTCAAGACGGTCGGGGCATTCGGCATAGAGTGTGCAAGGGAGGCCAGGCCACACCCTGTCCCCGCCATACCAAGCCATGCAACGTAAACACTACAGAATGGAGCATACCAGGATCCTGGCTACTGGCTGCTGGCTGCTGGCTGCTGGCCACTGCCGCTTCCGTTACCCAAAGGGTCCTTGGGTGATCATCGTAGGCCTGCCAGGCCACCGGATCCTCATCTCTGGGTCTGTTTTTTGAAGGGACGATGTGTGCATGAAGGACGGTGGGTTGCCCAGAGTGTCAGAGTGTGTATGTTGTATAGTGGGGGCGCCTTTTGGTGATTCAGCAAAGTGCTTTCACACACCAAGGCTGGCAGAACTCGTATTCTGCCGAGATGGAGTTCGTACGAACTGTTTTTTGTTGATTTCCCCTTGCCTCCGTTACTGGCGTCTTTCCTGGTATAGTGTTATTACGGGTGATCTCCTATTCACCGAAAAAAACGATGCGAATACACCACAACAAAAAGAGAGGAGAGAGGAAAGAGGACAAGAATGTCGGTGCTCACAATGATCGTCACGTTCGGTGGCGAGTTGCTGGAGCTGAGCCATAGGCAAGCATGCGCCGGTCACATCCACTGCGAGACATATATTCCTGTCTTCTGTCGCTCGCCGTCGTCCTTTCTTGGACGTGGTGGGACCCGTCAACTGGATGCCGATCCATAGGGACGATGCGCGTCCCTGGGTTGGCCACTTTCCTTTGTCTTGTCCATCTGTTTTGGCTGCCGTTCTTGGAAAAGCACACCGTGACATTGGCCAGCGTCGCGGGCCTACAAGTTTCAGGACTGCTTCAAGATGAGCTGGGGGTAGCGCAGGCCTTTGCGGACATCGTCGCAACGGCGCGTCCATGGCAAGCGAGACGATGTTTCCCTGTTTTATCTGTAGCAGACGAGACGGTGAGAACACGCAAAATGGGACTTGTAAACGATATAAGAGCGTCGTTTTGGCTTGGCATTACTTATTTGCGACAACAGCTGGTTCCATATAAGTGGACTAGAGTTGGAGATGTCCAGAGGGAACAACGGACGGAGCGGGTCCTGTGGATGGAGAAATCCGTCAGCCTGGAGAGCAAAGTTTACTGATGAAGACGTGGTTCATTGGCCGTTTTGGTTTGATGTGCATCGTCTCCTTTGGAGGGAATTAATCTCCGTGATGATGCTGACCCGACAGATTTGCCTATCGAGTTTACGCAGCAGATACATGGAAATAGAAACCATCACAGAAAACAACGGGTGTCGTATTTTGTTGGCGTTTTCAGACGATACACAATGCAAGCATCTCATATTTCAATTACCTTTGTGTGTATATTTTATTTACAAAAACGGTGTTAAGTCGCTGCGCTTGTACTGAGAAAACGCCGGGAAATAATAAAATACAATACATGTAGCACCACAACCTCAAGTGTCTCTATCGCAATTTGACATTTCAGATATTGTCCGGGCCATGCTTGCTTTCCTTGTAAAATATCGTCAAGGCCTTGGACTTTGCCTGAACCACACGCGACTCTCCGATTCTCGGTCTGTGAGGCTCTCCTATCACCGTTTTTGTGTGATCGATGCACTGTCGGCGGTATTCCAACTTTTACTTTTGTGTTTTCTGGGTTAATTCTGATTTTGAACATGATAAAAGTGGAAACAGCTGAACATGTCTAACTAAGAAAATAAAATCAACAGAATCCGAGCAACTCTGACTCGTTGTGTCTCGCAGTCGTCCTTTGACACCATGTCCCACGTTGTGCTTCCTGCTACGGCTTACATCATTAGGAGGATGTCCCGTACGGTCCTGCATCTCTATTTGTTTTGACTCGGCAGCCGGCCCGAACTGTCAGATATTATTTTTTTTACGAAAGTCATAAATGAGAGAACGGCGCACGGCATCTTTTCCGCCCACGGATGGCAGGATGCAGTGTTGTGTAGTAACCAATGGACCACAGCAGGAGAGACGCACGAGGCTGTGTGCCCGGGTCGGATTGGACTTGCTCGCCGCACGCCTTTCATGCATTTCTTTTTCGTTCTTTTTGCTTTGGCCATTGTGTAGTGCTCCGGAGCACGGCGTCTACCAATGCTGTCATCAGTGGGTCACAGGCTTGGGTCTTGCTGCGTTTTCCTCCCATTGCCATTCGCTCGTCCGTCTTGACAACCGAACCCAAATGCTAGCCAAAGGCGGTGTGTCGTCAGTCGTCACCCCGCGCTGCAGAATCGCGGAAGAGACGAGGGACTAAAAAAAAAAAGAACGAGGGGCGGTTTTTTTTCTTGCGAAAGCGCCCGATCAGAGGGGGAAAAAAAAATGAGCGTCACAATCATAACACAAAGGGCCTTTTGTCTCTCTCCATTGCCTGCCACAGCATTCCTAGTATCACGTAGAGTTGTGTGCAAGCTGATGGAGCACGGTATACGAACAATTTGCAAGTGTTTATTTTATGTTTTCTGGCTAGACCGGGTCGCAATTGCCAAAACACCAAGCCAAGCAAACTTTCCAATGCCACATCGGCCAATGTCGAACTTGTCCGTCAATCGCTCCTTCTCTTGCTTCTGACCGTAGGCCGCCTCCCGAATACGAGCCATAACAGCTTCGGTCGTTCTTTCTTCAGTGTATTCCTCAGCATCGTTTGCCCTGTTTGCCTCTGTGGCCGTTTTCTCCAAGCGCCGTCATTCCCCTGTGCCCTAGTTAGGACACGCCTCTTTCTGCCCAATTCCCCGTGCCTTCTTCCCTCGCAGATATTCTTTGGTGGTTCCTTCTTACCTTGTTGCTGCTCTTGCTGGTGCTTGCCTCTCCTGACGTCTGACTCACACCACGCTGTCGGTGCCCCTTGTCCCGTTTTTCCCGTCCTCTTTCGTTGGTCCTTTTCTTTTCTTTTGTTGGAATCACTTTACATGCGCCGATTCATATTTTACACTGCACCACTGTACCACTGTACTCCAAGCTGGCCTCGCCTCATTTAATACCATTGCCTCGTCCGCTGTTGTTGCGCCGGTTATTGTCGTCTTCATATTCCCCGTCTACGTTTCAACTCAATTGGTGTCCAGGAAAAGCTCCAATTGCTTCTACGTCTCGCAACTTCTCCCATTCCGTCTACAGCTGCTTCGGATACATTCCCCATTCGATTGCCATTGCTTCCAAAATGCCTGGAGTTGACGCTTCCCCTCTCGTCGTCGACAATTTGCGAGGTGAGTGAGAGAAGTGCAGTGCCTTGTTTCCTTTTCTTTTTTTTAAACTTTTTTTTAAAAAAAATCAGAGTTCACTAACACGCCCAGTCCTCGGCCAGGACCCCCTCATTCCCCCAGACTTGTTGATCTCCGAGATCCCCATCACCGAGGCCGCCGTCGAGACCGTTGTCAAAGGCCGCAGGGATGCCGTCAACATTATCATGGGCCGCAGCGACCGCCTGCTGGTGATTGTCGGCCCCTGCTCCATCCACGACCCGGCCACGGCCATTGAGTACCGCGACCGCCTGCTCGCACTCGCCAAGACGCTGCAGGACGACCTGCACATTGTCATGCGCGCGTACCTCGAGAAGCCGCGCACGACGGTCGGCTGGAAGGGCCTGATCAACGACCCGGACATTGACTCGACCTTCAAGATCAACAAGGGCCTGCGCGTCTCGCGCCAGCTCTTCTGCGACCTGACCAGCGGCGGCATGCCCATTGCCTCGGAGATGCTCGACACCATCTCGCCCCAGTTCCTGGCCGACTTCATCTCCGTCGGCGCCATCGGCGCCCGCACGACGGAGAGCCAGCTGCACCGCGAGCTGGCCTCGGGCTTGTCGTTCCCCGTGGGCTTCAAGAACGGCACCGACGGCAACCTGGGCGTCGCGATTGACGCGATTGGCGCGGCGGCGGCGCGCCACCACTTTATGGGCGTGACGAAGCAAGGGCTGGCGGCGATTACGCGCACATCGGGCAACGAGCACGGCTTTGTGATTCTGCGGGGCGGCACCAAGGGCCCCAACTACAGCAAGGAGCACATCCAGGACGCCAAGGCGGTGCTGGAGAAGAAGGGCCAGAAGCTGGCCATTATGGTGGACTGCTCGCACGGCAACTCCAACAAGAACCACCGCAACCAGCCCAAGGTGGCCGCGACGGTGGCGGCGCAGCTGCGCGAGGGCGAGAAGGCCATTGTCGGCGTCATGATCGAGTCCAACATTGGCGAGGGCAACCAGAAGGTGCCGGCCGAGGGTGCGGCCGCCCTGAAGAAGGGTGTCAGCATCACGGACGCCTGCATCGACTGGGAGTCGACCGTCACTGTCCTGCAGGACCTGGCCGCGGCCGTCCGCGCGCGGCGAGAGATCCACACGGGCGCCGCCGACGCCGCGACGCCAAAGACGACGCTTCTGGAGGAAGAGTAAGATGCGAGCACACGAATATACGTTGGGGTGTGAAAGGGAAGTACGATACAATACCAAAAAGGAGGCTAGTATACCAAAAACACACACATGGGTTGGGACTCCATAATCTGGGAAGGAGAAGATAGAATGAGATAGAACCACAACCACCATGGACCTGAGAGTCTATATTTTGAGTCGTTTACGGGAACATACAAAGAAGAACAAATGATTCGCCAACACACACAGCACGATGTGATCGTAACCAAGGTTTTTATTAAAAGAATCGCTGCAAACTCGAAATGACAACGCCTCGAAAGTCTTCAACGGCCCCACCATCTCCCAGTTAGTCCGCACTGCTACCGCCCAACGGCGCATACTGGCCACGCGGACCGGCTGCCGAGGGCGCCGAAAGCGGACTGCCCGACCCGCGGCGGCGGCCGCCGATGCCAATGGTCGCCAGCAGCCTCTGGACGATGTTGCCACGGCCGTTGTCACGGTCGTTGTGCCCACCGCCGCCCAGCAACGGCGCTCGTGCATCCGCGCCCTCCGTCAAGTGCAGCGCGTGCTGCACGGCCTTCCAGCCGAGCAGACCGGCCGTGCCAAGCAAAAAACACCAGACAATAATCTGGTCCTTGCGGCTGTCGCGCTGGAAGCACATGGTGACGACGTCCTTTTCCTCGGCGCCCTTGCAGATGGGCAGGTTGTAGTTGAGGCAGAAGGCGCGGTTGCACTGGGTGCACGACGAGGAGCTGGCGCGGGCGTCCACGTTGTGGAGGCTGCGGCCGTAACGGGACGCAACGGCATCGCCATCGACATCGCCATCGACATGGACGCCTCGCGACGACGGGGGCGGGTTGCCGTTGACGGGCTGGGCGTGCTGTGGGCCGAGGGGGATGATGGTGCTGTTGGTGAAGCAAGTGCATTTGCAGAACGTGGGCGCAGCTGTCCATGTTAGCGACCACGTCGTGTCAACGTGTGCATTGTCTGTGTATGCATTGTGTTTTCTGAGGAGACGTACAAGCGGCAGAAACCAACGCGAAGAAGAGGCTGAGCGCCGCGAGGATGCGCTGTATTCGCGCCATGGTCGTGATTAAATGTGTAAAAGGGCGTCGCAAAGGAATCAACGCTCGAGTGGTCAATGTTCGCAGTGGCCAGGTCTCGTCGTCGTGTTCGACACTGTCGTCGTGCTTCTGAAGGCAAACTGGCAGCTGTCTTAATGCTGTAACGGAAACGTAGGCATTTCTATAGCGGGGCAAGCATATGCATTTAGACGCTAGAGTGCCGATAGCACGTATCTGCTACGAAGCAGTGAACAATCAACGCCGTACAGAATATTACACCGTATTACGCCGTATTGGCTAACCGCCAAGCGAGACGGGGCCAGTCACAATGCATCATTGTGCACACCACCCTCCAATGTTAGGCTGCGAGAGGGGGCCCAGACGATAACGATATTTGACCGAGATTTTTCTGGAACATCCAGGGCTCACCGATTGATTTCTGTTGCTTTTGACCTCACCTTTTTCTACGCTTTCGGCCTTTGTTTTTGGTCACCTTGTTGTCGTTATTTAGTGCGCAGACACTGCAGCCCTGAAAGAGCCCCACTGAAGCTCTGCCGCACCGCCTGCTATCGCTGTAAGCTGGATCGCACCGGTACCGAAACCTCGCCGCAACCAAACGCCATGCCTCTCACGGTGCCGTCCAAGGCGACGCTCGTCGCGCTGTCGCTGGTGCCCGTGGTGGCCCCGACCGTCTACCTGTTGCTGGTCCAGGCGATCACGTCGTACTACGTCGGCGCCTCGGCGACGCAGCAGCGCGTGCTGACGGCCAAGGACAAGGACGCCGTAGCGGCCGCGGCGGCCACCGCCGCGTCTGGCGCCGCCAAGACCTTTTCGGACGCGACCACCGTGGCCGACACGGTGCCGCCGCACTCGCTGCCGGCCGAGGTGTACGGCGACGACGCGCCGTACGTGGTCTACTGCGAGCGCGTCGTCTCCAAGCCGGTGCCCATCCAGCGGCTGACCACGGGCCGCGCGGACGGGCAGCTCCTGACGACGTACCTGCGCGGCACGTTTGGCGCGTTCAGCTGGACGCCCATGGGCCTCATCATGCACCGCATCGTCCAGGACCCGGCCCTGCGCAAGACGTTTGGCGCCGACCACCTGGAGGCGCTGGCGTTCCAAAAGGACGACGTGGCCTGCGGGCCCCATCTGGTGACGTACCGCAGCCGCGACCGCGCCGAGCTCATGACGCAGCCGCTGGCCGACAAGCCGGACCTGGTGGTGCACGCGGTGATTGTGGCGGCGGTCGAGACGACGGCGTCGGGCAACGAGGTGGTCTTTGTCAACGAGACGTGGTTCTGGCGGCATGCCAAGGACGAGCCGCCGTCGTTGCTGGAGAGCGCGGCGGGGCGGTGGGTGCACAACCTGATCGGCAGCTGGATGATTTTCAAGGGCACGACCAAGGTGACGGCACCGGTGAAGGCGAAGAAGGAGTAGGCGCGAGGGTGGGGGATGCCATGGGAGGCTGAACGAGGAGTGTACGTTGATGGGAGGTTATCTGTTTGACTTTGTTTTGTTGGACGTGTCTTGACGTCTCGACGATAACTGTCTATTTCTTTCTCTCATTTCTGCTAGATATCTGCCGTTGAAATGTTTCCATGCCAGTTATGCCGGAGAAAGAGCCGACCATAAAGGACATCGCCACTCTGCTCTTAATTTACCATTCTTTATTAAGATGTGCTGGTGTCTACTCTGTACATGTTCGTTTCGACCTGGAACTGTGGAGGCAAACTCGCGACTGACGCCAGAGGGACATGTGCTTTTGTATCACAGCTACTACTTTCTTCATTCTGTTCCTTTTATGCAGCTTCATGTTTGTCATTCACATTACTTCTGCTTTATTTATTCTCCGAGAAGCCTGCATCATGTTCTTTTGTTTATATTACAGTGCCGCATTGGGCCGTCTCTTGCCTTCTCGAAGCCCTGAAACGCGCGGCCACTTTGTATCTCTTCATCTCCTGCCATATCCTCCGTAGTACCTGTCTTTGTACGCTATAAGCATTGTATGAACTACCGAGGGATAGAGACCAAGGCTTGCACGGTGATTTATGGTGTTTCTTACCCCCTGAAAGGCAACGGTCAGACAGATGGACGGACTCGTCCCAGCCCGTCCCGTCATTTGATCAAGCGATCTCGGTGCCGAGACTGATAAAGGCACATAAGTGTCTCTTGCAAGGCTACAGTGCATTGCACATAATTTTCAGACAAGTAGTAATGTGGAGCAAAGCGTGTCCAACTCACACTCCGTTTTGCAGTAATCTTGCCATACGTGACGATGCACACAAAGAGAGATTATAATGCAGTAAAGAACAGCAGGTTCGAAATCAAACGCCAAGTGATATGCAATGCCTACATGTATAGTCGCGCAGAAATGAGTGTACGGATGAGTGGAAATGACTGAAAAGGAAGAGAGACTAAAACAAAAATAAAAATAAAAATAAAACTCTTCATGAGTGCTAGAACCCGGCAATGGACAACAACAGCTACACCTTCTCAGGCACGACCACCTCTTCGTGCACAACAGCGACGCCTTTGTCAAGGATGTCGCTGTCGGCTTTGCCGCTCTCGGCGGTGCCGCGGAGGCTCGTGGCCTGCGGCAGGTCTTCGGAGCTCGAGCCCAGCTCGCCCGCGCCCGCATGGCGCTCCAGCTGGGTGACACGGAAGCCGACGCCGCTGCCGGTGGTCTTGTAGGAGCCAAACTTGTAGGCGGGGACGCCGGCCTGCCACAGCTCCTCGAGCTCCTCGAGGGAGCGCTTGCTGGTGTCGGGCAGGTAAAAGTAGCCCCAGACGATGCCGAGAATGGAAATGGTGCCGTAGATAAAGCCGACCTTGGACTCGAGGTCGGCGTACGGCTTGTAGAGCAGGTAGGGCAGCGAAAAGGACACGCCAAACTCGACAATGTTGCTGGCAATGTGGGTGACAGTGAGGGTGCGCTCGCGCAGGCGCAGATGGGGCGTCTCGGCGGCGACGACGGTGCAGGCGCCGTGGTAGCCGATGATGTGGACGATGGCGGACAGGATGTAGAGCGTGATGATGACGTTGCCGACGCGGTGGACGTCCATCATGCCGATGCCGCCAATCAGAAAGAGGCAGACGGCGTAGACGACGGCGTTGACAAAGTAAATGGTGCGGCGGCCGAAGCGGTCAATGACAAACAGCAGCGTCAGCGGCGCAATGATGCTCAGACTCTTCTCCATGAGGCCAAACTGCAGCGGGTCCATGGCGCCGATGCCCTTGACGAAGATGGTGCCGTACTTGGTGACAAACGACTGCCCCGTGAAGGAGATGATGAAGATGCTCATAAACACAATGAGCGTGCGCCGCGTGTTGGTGCCCCGGAACAGGTCCCGCCACGCGCCCTGCGTGGCCGCGTCCTCCTCGATCGACGCCAGCAGCAGCTTCGCCTCCTCCTCGGGCGAGTAGCCGTTCTTGGTGCCGTTGAGCCGCCGCAGCGCCCGCGCCGCGTCGTCCATGCGGCCCTTGCGCACCAGCCAGCGCGGCGACTCGGGCAGCACCCAGCAGAGCGACAGGCACACGGCGGGCGTGATCCACATGAGGGCAAAGGGGATGCGGTACTGGCGGGCGTCGTCGACGTAGGCCCGGGAGCAGAAGAACGTGGCCAGCGCCGCCGTGACGGAGCCGGAATAGCTAAAGATCATGTAAAACGCAATGACGGAGCCGCGGACCGGGCCGGGGACAATCTCGGCCAGGTACATGGGGATCAGCCAGTCGTGCCAGCCGGAGAACATGGTCAGCACGACGCGGCCGCAGACGACCTGCACAAAGGAGTGCGCCGTGAACAGGATCGTGGCGCCCAGAAGGCTGCCAAACTGCATCACCACGAACACCGCCCAGCGGCCCCAGCGCTCGGCGATCAGCAGGGCCACAAAGAGCATGCCGGCGCGGAAGGGCGTGCCGATCGACCCGAAAATCGACAGCTTGACGGGATCCATCTGCGGGTGGCCGTGATGATGGGTCCCGTTGCTGCTGCTGTTGCTATGACTTCCCTCATGTGCACGTGTTCCGTGGTGGTGTGTGGGCTCCGTCTCGTTGAGCGGCAGGTACATGTGGAAATCCACGTCAAACTGGTCCATGACCTGGACGAGGCTGGTGATGGAGTTGTCGAAGCCAAACTCCAGCACGCTGAGACTGAGCAGCATCAGCGAGATAAAGGAGACTTTGGTAAAGTGCCTGAAGAACGGCCAAGTCGACGGTTTCGTCGGCCGGGCCCTCGCGTGTGGTGACATTTTGGTGAAGCAGGAAGAAGATGGAGACGACGAAGAGAAGAAGGGAAAAGTGAAACGATGTAAAGACGTGTGTTGGATGAGTAAACGACGTGAAAGCAAAACAAGACAATGGGCAGGGAATACTATATAGAGATACGAAGGTGAGATATCAGACGACGCGGAACATGGGCACAAGTGGCATCTGTTCAGGAGCAGTGCCAAGACTTGACGATGCCAAGACCGGAACAAAAGGCCCATATATGTGAAAATCTGGGGTAGCCATCTTGCTCTGCAGTGGTCGCATGGACGGACTGGTATCAAGGAACAGCACCAAGCGGCTCAAGGAAATCAAAATCAAACAAGGGAAAGCAAGGGAGTTGGAAGAACAGGGAAGGGGGCAGAAAATACGGAAGAAAGGCACGTGTGCATGTTCGGCTGTTGCAACTTGGAAGTGGTTGATGAAAACAAAACTTGAGAGTCGTTTGTCTGCTTTCCTGTCTCTCTTCTCTCTTCCTTTTCTCTTTTCCGTTTTCGAATTCTCATCTACTTTCATCCCACATTGGGGATGACGACAGCAGGAGTCTGTGCCATCGCGGCCATCGCACGACACAAGGCGATCTCTGGCCCTTGTTTATTAGACCGGTATGGGAAAGGGTAAAGGATGCATGGCAAAGCCTCTTCTCCCAATCCCCAGGATTATGTGCATCTCAACTCGCCGTGCCGGGGCCGAGAGTACGAGCGGAAAGGCCACGGCATGTTATTGAGTCGTGTGGCAACGGACAGCGAACACGGTAGTCAGGATGAGGAAGATGATATAAAAAAGCCAAAGAAAACTCCACAGATAAGAACATGTACCACAGAGTGTCGAGCTCAAAGAACGAGGCACACATGAGGGCCGAGGAACGTCAAAAATGGAAATTGGACCGTCCTGGATCCAGGCCGTGGGAACGAGTGGCTGACGTGTTGTCCAATCTGGATAAGTTTGGGGCCACTTCCTTGCTCCTTTGTTAAATACAGATCTTGCTTATAATACCGGAACGACAAGTCTGGCGACCAGATGGGAGGACGGTAGAAGTGGGGAAAGGGAAAGAGGAACGAGGAGAGTTATCTATGAGCTGGACAAGTTGGACGAGGCTTGGAACATGCGGGAGAACACGATGAGCTCGCAGGATGAATTTCCTATGACCATCTGCAGAACACGAGGCATCCATTCGGGCGAGATTCGATGCGGCGGGAAGGGCGAGATAGTTGTCAGGTTGCCAGGAATGAAGAGGAGGATGAAGAGGAGGAAGAAGAGGAGGAAGAACAGGAGGAAGAAGGGGATTACCGGCGGATGCGTTTGTGTGGTCAGGCTGATATTCCATAAGAAATGTAACGAAGCTGTACTTTATTCGATAGAACACTAAGAGAACATTCATGTGCAAACGACAGTCGTATCAGATCCTCATTTTTTTCCCTTATTTTCATTACGATCGCGATCGCAAACACCACATTCAAAATGTGGGGTCCAGGGACTACCAACAAAGCTGGGGTAGAAACAAAAGAAGATAATAAGTCCCGAATCAGATGGGGTAGCATTCGAAAACGCAAAGAGCAGGAAAGGAGAAAAAAAATAATTAGGTGCCAGCCAAACCCTCACAGCAAAGACAAGCTTTCTTTAGTCGTTCGGCTCTTTTCTCTCGTGCCTTTCTTCCCTTCTTTCCGTACTCTTGGCGTGTGTTTATCTTGGCCCCTTCAACTCGACGGCTTCCCCTCCGCACTGTATATGTGTTGTTTCTATCCCACCGCCTGTCGCCTGTTTCTTTCTCGTTTCAATTTCAACCGCACTGCCAAAACGATATCTCTTGGCGGCTAATTGTCCCGAAATACCCTTGGTCTCCACGCTCTGCAAACCTTCCGATGATCCTTTAGGAGCGGGGATGGTACTATATGGTATCTTGTGGTATTCTGCTATACGTGGATGTGCAATACGACTTCTCCTTTCCTCCTGACAGCTATCGACACGATGCGGATGCCTTTGCACCGAGTCATGATCTACATTCCCCCATCTCTACCTTTCCTGGACTCGTCATCCCTCGTTTTTTTTTCGTGATCATAACACGGAGTATATTATGAACCGATCCTTATAAGACATAAGACTCGACAAAAGACACTGTTACCGTCACCCTTCATCCCTAACCCACGTAAAAGCCAATAGACTCAAACGGTAAGCAGAGAAAACCAGCACTCCGTGTCTTGGAATTTATATAAATTTCTAGCAAAGCACAGTAGGTAGAAGGGGTACGGAACAATACGTGAATAAATCCAAGAAACGAAAGGCGCGTCGAAGAAGTGTTATTTCACACTGTACTTCAGCGAACCTGAGCAGAATAGACATGCAGGAGGATTTTTATTTTATTTTTATTTTTATATTTTTCTTTTCTAAAAAAAACCCTCTATGAATTATTTTAATTCTCAATTTGGAAATTTCATTTAGAATACAGAAAAGTATTCTTCTCTACAAGATTCACATGTTTGGACCAGCGCAGGGAACATTTTGTGTTCTGTGAAAACTAGACTGAGACAAGAGAAAGACCTCGTCGAACTCCTCCCACTAATAACCTTTTCCATTTTATATAATTTGGCAAAGAAACCATAAAGAGGCAAAATGATATTCTCCTCCAAACCATATTTTTTGGTGCCCATCAAGATAAAACCAGCGATGAAGGCAAGTAGCAAAACCATTTGTCCCGGAACACAAGTTGGGTTAAAGAAACACAATAAACAAAACCCATACAATCAGATCAAAAGACCAAAACGAAAAAGAAAAAAAACCGTACAGTCACAACAATGTTTTTTTTTGTCAAAAAAGCAATAAGAAATAGAAGAGCAGTTTTGCGTGTCTGTGTGGGAGTGTATTTTTGTTTTTGTTTGGTATTTCACTCTCATTTCTTCTCTCAATCTGCAGTACAAACAAAAACAAGATGATGAGTAGTAATAATGACACACATACGATAACAAAAAAAAAGAAAACAAATACCATAGGAGAGACACAACAAACGAAAGAAAAAAAAGAGACCGAGTAACAAAAAAATTAAAGATTAAAGCAACGACAAGAGGACGCGGGCCAAGACCCTTCAAATCATCCTCTCTTTTCAACAAACAGTCTCCCCGCCCAGGAAGAGATGCGCGGATAACTCACATCTAGTGGTAGTTGCCGCCCCAGCCGCGCTGCTGCTGCTGGTTGCTGTAGTAGTTGCTGCCAAAGCCCTGGCCGGCATGGCCGCCATGCTGCGCGTTGTGGCCGCCGTAGGCACTAATGTACGGGTTGTTGCCGTGGTTCTGATTGCCGCCGTAACCGCCAGCGCCACCAGCCGCCGACTGGTTGTTACCGTGGAGACCACCGGCACCGTGCTGCAGGTGCGAGGGGTAGCCGCTGTACGCACCTTGCTGGGCGGACTGCGGCGGAGGCAGCGACTGCGAGGACTGGGTGTTGGTGGCAGAGCCGGGGCGGGCCAGGCCCGATGGGTTGGGACCAGCACCGGCGGCCTTGGAGGCATCGCCGTACGGCTTGAGGTCATCAGCACCGGTCTGCTGCGAGCCCACCTGAGACTGCTGCGCACCGTAGCCCTGGCCGGCAGCCTGCGACTGGTACCCGGAGGCACCGCCGCGGCCGTAGGTGCCATCGTGACCAGTGGCACCAGCACCGCCAAAGCCGGTCTGGGACTGGTTGGAAGAAGCAACGCGACCGTAGTCGCTGAGACCGGCGGAGCCCAGGCCGGTGTTGTCGGCGCCAGCACCGCGGTGCAGAGACGAGGCGCCGCCGAAGCCGCCCGAAGACTGCGAGTGCTGGTCATACTGCGGGTTCATGTTGTAAGGGTGGTGAGCACCACCGTAGCCACCCTTGCCACCGTAGGGGGTGCCAAAGTTGCTCTGGCCACCAAAAGCACCGTACTGAACATACTGGGCGTAGTAGGGGCTGGCGTAGTACGGGTGCTGCGAGTAAGACTGGTACTGGTTGTTCTGGTGCTGCTGTTGGCCGTGCTGGCCCTGAGCACCAGCGCCGGGCTGCTGCTGGGACTGCGGCTGGCCGGCAACCGGGGGATTGGGGGTCGAGGTGCCGCTGTTCTGGGCGTCAGCGGCAGCGGTCGACGTAGCGGCAGCAGCACCGCCGAAGCGGGACGCACCGCTGCTCTGGGGGTACTGGCTAAGCGAGTCGTATGCGCCGTAGGAGCGCTGGTTCTGGGCACCGTCCTGGTGGCCCTGGGCCTGCTGGCCGTACGCCTGGTAGTAGTTGTTGTATTGCGGCATGCGGCTCTGCGCATCAGAGGTGAAGTACTGCGAGTACTCGTTGGGGGCGGCGGAGCTGTAGGCGGTCGGGGCCTGCGGGGCCTGGGTGTTGGCGGTAGTCGGGATGCTCTGGTAGTTGTCGAACTGGGAGGCGGCCGAGGCCTGGGGTTGGGCGGGTTGGCCGTAGGTGTCAAAGGGCTTCTGGCCAAACGCGGAATCCTGAGCAGCCTGGCCGTAGCGGCCGTACGGCTGGGCGTTCTGGGCCTGGGCAGCAGGGCCTGTCGGCGGAGCGACGGGCGCCGTGGCACCCGGTGCGGAGGGAAGGGTAGAGGTCGCGGTGGGGGTCGCGTTGGCGGCAGCCTGTTTCTGGGCTGCGAATGCGTCGGGGACAGATGCGGGCGGCGCAACGGGCGGGAGGGACGCGCGGGGGTGCGCGACGGGAGAATCATCGGGCGGCTGGGCGCGGGTCTCGGGCTCCTCACGGTCGCCGTCAATGTCCTCGTTATCTGCGCCGTTGAAGTTCAAGGCACCGAACTGCACAGCAGCGCGGTCAACATCGCGGTTGACAGGCATACGGACCGCCTCCTCCTGGTCGAGGATGCGGCGCGAGTAGCTGGGGGTGCGGACGGCGCCGCGGTCGGTGGCCTTGGAGGCGGTAGTAGCATAGCCACTGCCCACGGCGGCGGGCTTGCCGGCGTGCTGCTGCTGGGAAGCAGAGATGGGAGTGCTGGTGCCGGCAAGAGCAGCGGCACGGGGGTCCCAAGAGTCGGCGGCCTCGCTATGGAGGGTATCGGTCTCGGGAGGGTGGGAGTCGTCGTCGACCTGCTCGAGGTTGCTTTCGGTAAGGGCATCCTTGGAGGGTAAAATGGCGACTTCCGGTACGACAACCGGAATGGCGACGTCCAGCGCCGCCGCTTCCTTGACGACAGGCGTGTCTTCAGCAGTGGCTGACTCGGGCTCGGCGTCGCCAGTTGGTGCGGAGGAGGGAGCTGTTGTGGGTGCGGCAGTAGAAGTGGAGGGAGGGAGAGAATCGGTAGCGATATCGGTGGGAGCTTTGGTTGCGTGCGCAGCCTCCTTGGGCTTTGCAGCGGCCTTTGGTAGGGGAACAACAGTCTGGCGGAGCATGCTCGCCCACGTCTTCGGGACGGCAGCAGCAGCAGTAGGAGCAGATGTGGGAGCAGCGGAGGTAGTGTGTGCAGCAGCAGCGGCAGCGGTCGGTTCGGGGGTCGACTCGTCGGCGGGCTTTTGGCCATCCCACGCTTGCGACTCCTCGGTCGGGACAGAAAGGGGTGCGTCGGTGCGGGTGCCGTTTGCCGATGCGGGAGCTGAGCGGCCACGAGCACTGCGCCCACCGCGCTCAACCGCCCTGGCATTCGCACGTCCACGGGTCTTGTCGGGGCCTGCCCCTTCGCGTCTGGCCGGTCGGGCTGCAGCTGCGTCGGCGGTTGCGGCCTTTGGCTTCGTGCGTTCCTTCTTTGGCTTGGAAACCTCGTCCCACTGAGAAATTGTGCCTAGTGGAGGAAGCAGTTAGTATGGGCCAGAACGGTCCTAGTGAAGACCGGTGAGGTTGACGATCGGGTGTGGAGTTGTGTGACAAAAGAAGGAACAAAAAAAAAAGGAATCGAAAAGACGAGGAGGTGTTGCCGAGCGTTGATTCTCTCAATGAAAGCCAAAGCAATTGCTGCGTGGCACCAATCGCATGATGCAAGCTGTGTGATGAATCAAGGGAGGATGAAGCTTGTCTGAACAAAAGCTCTCGAGACAAAAAAAAAGCACGTGTCCACCTTTGAAGCTCTCCAAATGGAGCGACAGAACCGCACGAAAGCAAGAAACCACAAAAACTCACCTTCGGCAATGCGCGTGACCGTCAGGTTCTCGTCACCATCGGTCTCACGGAGAGCAAACAGGACGTCGACCTCGGACCAGTCGGGGAACAACTCGCGGATGAGTGACGTCTTGGCGCCGTACAGCTTCTTGAGCTGGCCAATCTCGCCCTCGTCCTCAAGGGATACTGGGCTGCTGTCATCGTTCTTTGCATCACCATTCGTCCGGCGCGTGCTGCCACGGCCAGCGAAGCCTCCTCTGCCACCGCGTGCAGCGCCCCGGCCACCGCGTGTGGCAGCCGGTCGAGACTGTACCTCGGACGACATTGTGTGTCTGTAGAGGGAATCTGAGAAAAAGGTAGAAAACGGGAGAACGTCAACACCGAGGATCAATTGTCCACGATGCGGAAGAGAGAGGGAGGAAGGAGATGAAGTCGAGAGTGTCCAAGACGACGAGGATAGGAGGATGGGCGGATGTGGTAGAAGATTGTGTTTTTCAGGGGAATGAAAAACACAAAAGTTTTCGATTTTCGCGATCGAAGCGGCTGAAAACGCGGGTGGGTGTCAGCGAGCTGTAGTGAGGGCAGGCTAGCCGGTCGACAAGACAAAGCAAACCGAGAGACGAGGCCCGTGGAAGGGAGAGGAAGAGAGGAGTCGAACCGCGAAGACGATGCTGATGTTTGTGGTGAAGCGCTCGTGAATGCGAATACTGAGAAGTGTGATGACGATGGCAAGGTCGAATGGGAAGGAGTGGCAAGGAGAAGAACGAAGGGATTTTGGAGAACTTGTCATGTGCGCATGGTGCCTGCTAATTCCTGCTAGCGGGTTGCTAATGTGGGCTCGTTGGGTTGCTGTGTGCGCAGCATCCTGCCTTATTTTTTCGCCCTGAGTGAGGAAGGTAATGTGCTGTTGGTGCCACACTGGGGGCGTGGATTGGGCGTGTATGGGCTTGTGGCTGGAAAAGGTCTGCGGACGCGCCTTCCTCCCTTTCCCCCTATTTGTGTCATTTTACAGGGGTGGTTTGACACGGCAGGCGCGACTCTGTAGGCGACGCCGCACGAAATCCGCCGAGGCAACCAACGACGCAACCATACAGAAGTACAAACGGACCTGCCTCATTGACAAAAAAGGAAAGCGACCAGGTTTGGGACACGGTACCGATACTTTGTTAAGACGCAAGTCACGATCTCCACAGTCGCCTGCTGTGGGGCACAGACACGCTCAATCTGTGTACCATCTCTGCATCTGCAGGTCCTGGTAAGGTCCTGCAGGCAGGGAAGCTCCCCTGGACCCCTTTAGCGGGCGTGCAGCCCTGCTTTGGCATCCTGAAGCGGCTATCACGCGCGCAAAACCCCGCGTATTAGGGCCTGGAAAAGGGAACCGGGCAGCAGCCTGAAGGGTATCTAGGAGAAGGTTGAGGGCGCTAGCGGCCCAGTAGCAGGTGCTGGTGCTTGTACTGGTACATACGTTGTTTGGTGACCAGGTGGTTGGGGCAGGGAGAGTCGAAAAATATGACTAGGCCCCACTTGTCAGCTGCTGCCAGCCGACAGACAGCGGCACAGAAACATAACCTGCATAATTGGACCCGCTCGACTTGGAGCTATGACGGTTGTTTATTGGGTTGTAGGTTCGCATCGTGACGGGTGTTGTTTTGCACATCTCGGGCGTCGTTTGTAGGTTTCTACAGGTATGGAACCGATGTTCTTCGTTTGCTGCCCTTGCCATTGTCCTAATTGAGCATGTATCTTTTTGCGGTAGATGCAGTACGTCAGGTACATATCTCTTAGCGCGCCAGTTGGTAGGTGACGTGATAGCTCAGTGCAAGATGAATTGGCCTCGCCTTGCGAAAGGCCAGTTGGATTGTTGCAGGAATCGACAAAAGCTGCTGATGAAATCAAGCGCTCGGCCTGTCCGGCCAAGGCAACACCTGCAGGGCAATTGTGTATTCTCCGGGTTGTATGCTCCGTTTGAAGAGCTTGACTATTGGGATGGGCCCTTTCGATTACAGTGCGAAACAGTATACTGTGTGAATGTCGAGATCGTTCCTGACCGAGCAGCCGTTGACAGTATGCGTAACAATGGGCTACCAATTTTCTCGAGATATCTCGCAAGTGAGCGAGATTGTTATTGGCCTACGGTCAAGAGACCGCCCGAGGCAAAGAATAACTGGACTGGTACGCTGTCTTCAAAGCACGTCAATCTCAATTCGGCCAGACGTTCATACCGCCAACCGTTGATCCATGCAGGTCGCCAAGGTGAGGATTGGAAACATACCAGACAGAAAGCAACGAACACATCCCAAGATGGCAGGATATGCGACGCTGCGGGCAATGCACGGAAGAAGACGGACGGAAACCGAGTGACGGAGAGGCCGTGCCGCAGTATTGCGTCCAGCTGATCAATTGAGGCCGTTTGTGAGAAAACGAATGCCAAGTAAACCACCGACACGCCGTGAATCTCGCTACTCGATCTGCTTCTACTTTTCGAGCTCTTCTAAGCTTCTTTGCCTCTGTATGTCGGTATCTGCAGCCTCGCGCTTCGCTCTCGCTGTCTCGGAAACGCCGGAATGGGGCATTTCTAGGGCCGCTCCCGCTGTTTAGGTCAGCGCATAGCGTCAGCACCACGCCTGCCCCTCCTCTACGCAAAGCCACAGCGGCCCCGCGTAGTGCCTACGAAGCACCGCAGGAATGCACCACCAGCTCGCACCTCACACCGCACCCCGTTTTGGCTTTGCGACTGCCTACCGAACGCCCCGGAGGAGCTTGATGTAGTAAAGTGCAGGAGCTGCATTGTCTTTCTAATGTTCCGTGCTGTCCCTCGTTCTTTCCCCCATTGTCACCATTTGACTGATTTCTGTCTGACTGCTTTATTTTTCCGGCTTGTCTCTTGTCCTTTTGACGATTCTGACTCTCGTCGCTGATCCTCTTTGTGATTGTAAGCCGAGAGAGCTCCATGACGGGCGCCAACTTTGCCATGCACCTTTAATTGAGGCTTCTTTTGTCTTCATACTCTATTGTTTCTCGTTTCTCTTCATTGTCTTTGCTTTCTGCAATTTCCTCCGTACCTTTTCTTCACCTTCCCACAGATATCGCAATGGAAAAGGTGACATCCAGGCTGCCGTCGTGGGACACGACCAAGACCAAGAGCAAGCAGGGATTCGACAAGGTCTGGGGCTGGGCGGACAAGCTTGGCGCACCCGTCAACCGGTTCTCCAACCGCATCGGCAGCGAGGCCTTTTGGCCGACTACGCTTGACAAGGAAAGCGACAAAGCAGCCCGTATTCTCCGGTCCTTTTGCAGTAAGTCTTTCGGTGCACTACGTCGCGCTGGGTCTGGACTCATCTTGGCAGCATTGGTGCTAACCACAACGCAGAGGATGGTTTCTACACGGAAATCGAGAAGCCGTCCGGCCCGGACCGTGACGGCCCAAAGTCGAAACAGCGCGTCCTCAAAAAGATTCCCCAAAAAGTCATCCAGAAGGCCGTCGGCCTCGCCATATTCACGACCATGCGCACGGGTCTCTGGATTTCGGGCGCCGGCGGCTCGGGTGTTCTTGTCGCGCGCAAGGAGGACGGCACTTGGTCTGAGCCTTCGGGCATTCTTCTGCACACGGCCGGCCTCGGTTTCTTGGTGGGCGTCGATATCTACGACTGCGTCTTGGTGATCAACAACCGCAAGGCGCTTGCGTCGTTTACAAAACTACGGGCCACGCTCGGCGGCGAGATCAGTGCGGTAGCAGGTCCTGTCGGCGCGGGCGGCGTGCTTGAGAACGACGGCAAGTGGAAAGAGATGAACCGGCCCGTGTTCACATACCTCAAGTCGCGCGGCTTCTACGCAGGCGTCCAGGTCGACGGCACCATAATCGTCGAGCGGACGGACGAGAACAAGCGCTTCTACCACCAAGAGATTGCCGCCGTGGACATCCTGGCGGGCAAAGTGCGGCACCGGCCGCCCGAGGTCTCTATGCTGATGGAAACGTTAAAGGCCGCCGAGGGCCGCACTGACGTCGACGAAGAGCTAATGGACGAGCTTGAGGGCCAGCCTGCGCCTGGCGATGTCGACATTGAAGCGCCGGTCTCGTTGTTTGGTGTGCCGGACCCCGAAGACCCGGACCCGTACGGTGTGTTGGCTCTTGAGAAGGAAGGCCTCGAGATTCGCGAAGCCGCGACCAACTCCCGCCCGGCTAGCGAGGTGTTCGCCTTTAACCCGAGCCCCAAGAGTCCTGTTTACAGCGCCTTCCACAACGGCCACCGGCGTACACAGAGCAGCCTGAGCCAACGCTGGAGCATGGACCGCCGACCGGCTGTGACCATGGCGGACATGGCGACGCAAACCGACCCCGTACTGATTGAGCCACATCCCGATGCCGAGGCCATCATGGCAGCCATGGCTGCGGCCGAGGCAGCCGAAGCAGAGCGAGAACGGGAAGCTCTGCGAGAGAAAGAGCGACAGAAAGAGGCAAGCAACAGCGCAACAGGCTTGGTGGTGCCCGATGCCATTGATGAGGACGAGGAACGGAGTGTCTATGAAGACGTGCCGGATGCGCCACAAGTCGACTCGGACGGTCCTGGAGCGCGGGGTGTTGCTATCAACACCAACCCGTGGAGCAACGAAAGCGGCAACCCGTACAGGGACGAAACCAAGTTAAATGTTGTATCATTCCCCAGAGGTCCCCCTCCGCCACTACCGCCACGGACGGCTGTTGCTAAACCGGTCGAAACGTTTGAAGAAGTCAATCTAAACGGCGGTGATTCTCTGGTGACGAATACGGATAGGTTTGACGATATTTTGTTTGTCGATAAGGACGGAGCAAACGAGAAGGAGAAGATGGACACGGGGATTGTTGAGAAAACGACGGCGGAACACAACGGCGAGAAAGAGACGGACAAGGATGTTTCCTCAACAAAGGAGCCTGCCGAGAAAACCGAGGAACTGTCTGAAAAGATAGCTGCAAGAGCTGAGGAGACACTCGATAAAACGGCAGAGGTGAAGACGGATTGATGCAAAACCCTCTGGGACGGTGGACGAGCCACAAACTGATGACAGTGGTTTGGCTTTGATTGTTTCTTGTTTAGATCGGCGCAACAGCGCTTCATACACTACCTATACTCGTATTCATAGAGCACCTTGCATGACGCATTACGAATTTAGCGATAACGAATTGATTTTATGAGATTAGGAGCCACGGAGCCCAGAAATGTCGAGGAGTCGCACATGAAAGTTGTGTAAGTGCACGTGACCACGTTAGTCATCCCAGAGAGTGTTCTGGCAGCTCGCTGATCTAGAAGCTACGGCGTACATCGCAGCACGTCACTGACTGAGATTATAAATTCAACTGAAATGACAATGATATTTCTTGCCCGCGACATGCCATTATGACGTTTGTTTCCCGAATACGTTGACGTATATACGACAAAATCACACTCCATGTCTTCAGCAACAACAGGGCCGGATCGGCCGTCGGCGGCTGCCGAGGTTGCCGCCGCCCTCCATGATGGAAAGAGACATCTTCTGCTCGCGGCCAGCGGCTCTGTCGCCACGATCAAGCTGCCCTTGATCGCCGCTGCTTTCTCGCGCGTGCCAAACCTATCTATCCGGATCATCCTGACGCCCAGCGCCGCTCAGTTTTTGCAGGGCCAAGCCGCTGAGCAGCCCGCCGTCGATTCTGCCGCTTTGCGAGGCCTACCAAACGTCGACGCCATCTATGTCGGCGAGGCGGACGAGTGGAACCCGCCCTGGACACGCGGGGCGCCCATCCTGCACATCGAGCTCCGCCGCTGGGCCGATTTGCTGGTCGTGGCGCCGCTGTCGGCGAACCTGCTAGCCAAAATCGCCAACGGTCTGTGCGATACGCTGCTCACAAGCGTGATTCGTGCGTGGGAGACGGATCCGGCGCTGGGCAAGCGGATCCTGGTGGCGCCGAGCATGAACACGGCCATGTGGAACCACCCGCTGACGGCGCGGCAGCTGGCGACGCTGCGGGACACATGGGGCGTGAAGCCGCCCAAAGTGGCTACGACGGACGAGGACGGCGAACGCGACGCGGAAGAAGCAGAGCCAACAGGCTGGTACGAAGTGTTGTTGCCCCAAAGGTAAGTTTTTTGTGTGCGTTTCACCCTTTGTCTGTTGTCCTGGACGAGACGCTGACAAACACCTGCAGCAAAGGACTTGCATGTGGCGACGTTGGCCAAGGGGCGATGGCCGACTGGCGCGACATTGTGCTAGTCATCCGAGACCGGCTCTCGCTATCGGCCGAGTATTTCGCAGAGGTGTCGTAGAATGATGCGCGCAAGACAATAACTATATTGAAACAATCGTATTCCCTGTAAATGCACATAACTCATGTTATTGAATTGGTGCGATGACCTCTAACCGGCGTACGTAAATCATTATGTTCTGAATTGTTGAAGTCAGTGTACTCCAAATGTATCCAAGTGAATGACTGGCAGGCTGTTTGTTGCCCTGTTTCAGCTGACTATTGCAAACGGCGTTTTCAAACATATATAGGACGGATGTCTCTACCAAGATTTGCAGTTGTTTTCTCACATATTGTACACGGACGACATAACTTTTCGAAGGCATCTTTTCCGAGTGTTTCTTGCCGACCTTACTCGAAACAATCCATAATTGGCCATGGATTCTGCACTATACGAGACGTCAGTCCTTTATTCGCCCATAAACGTCTTCTGAATTTGCATACTAACGTGTACGACAAATAGGATTGTCTCGTCTAACCCGTTTAAATTCATTATTGGCCAAGAAAAGAAAGAGTACCACCTCCACTCGGGACTGGTAGCCGCCCAATCCATCCCTCTCGATGCACTTGTGAACGGCAATATGCAGGAAGCAGCAAGCAAGTGTGTAGTCTGGCCCGAAGTAAGCAAGGAGACGTTTGGCCGATTTGCCATGTTTCTGTACACGGGTGACTACAACGGCGCCGAGAAATTACCTAGTTTGACTGAAAAATCAAAGGATGAGATGTGTTCGCCAACCAGGAATGCAAAGGACCGTGCCACTACCACTACAAGTCAGACCGGTCGATTCATGACTACATGCCCGGATCCGCTCTGCAGCCACGACGACGTGGCCTGGCCGGACAACCGAACCTTGAACATCCTAATGGTCCATGCCCACATGTATGTTCTGGCCGACTATCATCAGATCGAAAGCCTAAAGGCCGCTGCCCTGAGAAAGCTACACCGACTTCTTGTATGGTACACGGTCACGAAGGACAGCCTGGAGCAGATAGTCTGTCTCGTGCAGTTCACCTATGAAAATACGTTACCAAGCAAACGAGACTCGCTACGCAGCATGGTGAGTGAGTATTGCGCATCTGCTCTCTTTCGTTTCCGGGACGTGCCCGAGGTGGATTCGCTGGTGCGAAGCCTACCCGATTTTGCTGCCGACATGTTCCAGAAACTCAAGCTTTACTGAAGAGGGCACGTCCAGACTCTGTATGAGTAACTCGACAAGGAAGTGTATTATCAAAGTGAGGCAGTATAGTCGTTGCGAGGCTTCATAGAATGAAGGAAATTGATTTGTTCTTTTCATTGTATGTACAGCGCAAACATTTTTTCCCTGGTCATCCGATGCGCTGCGCGATGCACTTCAGCTAGCAAATCTGACCGCCGTCAATCGTCACAATCGAGCCCGTCACAAACGACGAGTCCTCTCCCAGCAAGAAGGCGATCGTCTTGCCCACCTCGGTCGGGTTGGCCCGCCGGCCCAGCGCCTGGCCCTCCTGCACAATCTTCTCGATCCCGTCCGCCAGCTCTTTGAAGAGCGTCTGCACCATGGGCGTGTCAATCACGCCGGGCGCCACACAGTTGACCCGGATGTTGTCGCGGCCGACTTCTTTGGCGGCACTCCGCGTCAGACCCACCACGCCGTGCTTGGCCGCGCTGTAATTGGCGTTCTTGGCGTTGCCCGCAATGCCCGCCGTGCTGGCCGCGTTGACAATGCTGCGCGGCGTGCCGCCGCCCATCTTCTTCATGGCCTGCAGCTGGGCGCGCATCGCATAGAACACGCCCGTCAGATTGACGTCGTTGACAAACGCCCATTCCTCGTCCGACAGGTCTGTCACGTCGTGCTTGCCAATGTTCTTGCCGACGACACCGGCCAGGTTCGCGGCGCCGTCGAGGCCGCCGAGCGTCTTGACCGTCTCGTCAATCCAGGCATTGACCTCGGCCGACGACCGCACGTCCGTGACGCGAGCATACACCTTGGGTGCGGCCGACACGCCGTCGGCCAAGGGCTGTGTCTTGATCTCCTCGACGGCTGCGTCCAGGGCGTCCTTGCGGTTGTCTGTCAGGGACAGGTTGACACCCAGCGAGAACAGGTGCTTGGCCGTCGCCTTTCCGATGCCCGAAGCGGCGCCCGAGACGCAGACGACTTTGCCTTTGAGAGAGGCCATTCTGAGCGGAGTTTGAAGTTAGAAAAGCTGTAGTGGTTAAAGCTGAAGCAGTAGTGGAGGTGGATGGATGCCGTGTAAGCCGAGCAGTGGCTGCAAGAGTGGCTGCAAGAGTGGAAACTGAAAGTGAGAAGAAATGAGTACAAAAAGGTAAAGCAGAGCTGGATCGTAATTGGTTTCAGTGCATACAATAATCCTTACTCGACTTTGCAGCAACATTGGAAGCAGGTCTTATATAGTCGCGACCCCAGTTGGTTGCGGTTATTGTTATCCCGGGGATAACTACCACAATCACGACTCACGGCTGTGGCACTTACACCGTCATGGGCTGTCAGGTTTTTCCACAGGAGGACTGGCAAAAAGGCGCGAGACGGGATTTCTCTTAGTTGCCCGATTGAAAATATCAATCATTTTCGTAGAATATAGAAAACAAATGCAAAAGAAACGACATGGCACAAATGGAAATATTCACACGCAAAAGCTCCGGGCCGACGCTAGCATAAAGCTTTACACTTTGGCTCTCCGCACATCATCAGGAGAGGGGAAGGGTTTGGGAAAGGGGGTTCGCATGGTCTACGGAAAAGGAAAAGAGAACGGAGCGTGGAGCCTAGCTTGCCGGGTTTTCAGGAACCCGAGGAGGAGCCAAATAGGTGTACTTGTCTGACAGGGAACCTCGCCACACCCCCGACTTTTATTTTGTTTTTGATATGAGAGGTGTTGACGTTTCTTCGAGCAAGACCTCGCGGTGTGTCTTTTTATGTGATGGACAACAGTGTAGATAGCATGTGGCGGTAGATTTGCACTAGATATACACCAAATCCAGTAACTGCAGTACAACCTGGCCTGATAAGTTATGGACATTTTACAAACGACTTGTTTAAAGCTGTGAACCCCGGTTTATTAATTGGCACGTAGTTGGAGACAAAACGTACGAAAGAAAAACGTGCGAAAAGAACGTAACAAAGCTGCCGAACATGACAAACGTAGTTGGTAAAATAAACATTCCCCACCACATCCTCAAACGTTGTTCCGGGTTTGGCAAGTAGATCAATTCGCGCCAATCGCATGAATGTTCCAACGTAACATAATCAAAACATACGAGTACCTCTACTCCTTCTTCTCCGTCCAAAATACCGACGACGTTACCCAGTCGCCGCGGCTCGGGTGCAGGACAACGATTGTGGGCTCCTTTCCGTCGTGGTCGAGAGGCGTGGGGCCATGCTGATAACGGACGACACGGCGCATGCGGCTGCGAGACGTTTGGGCGGTGGTCGACGTCGACGTCGACGCGTTGTCATCGTAGTCGCGGTCCCTCTCCCGGTCGCGGTCACGACGATCACGATCGCGCCCCTTCGTGGGCGATGTCTTCTCTGACTTGGAGACAGAGGGAGCGGTGGGCCGCTGTAGCTCGGGGCCCGTCATATCCATGGCCGTCAGGTACGCCGCGCGCGTGTGCAGCCAAGCAAACATGGCCGGTAGTGTAGCCTGCACCGTATTGGCCGTCGTGCCGTCCGACAACGTGCGGTCCTCGCGTGACATACCCATGGCGGCCAGGAACTTGGGGGACAGGGCGGGCGCGTCGACGGTCGACGTGTGCCCAATCTGGGGAACGGACGTGTCCTGCGGCATGGATATCCAGCGGAATCGGAGCCGTTCCAGTTCCTTCTCGTCGTCCTTGTCCTTGTCTCCATCGTCAAATGAGCTCGCCTTGTCCTCACTGATACTCGCGCTGCGTCCACCCCTAGCCCTTTTTTCGTCCTTCTTCTTGTCTGTGCCACTTGGCGGAGCAGCAGCAACTTTGAGGACAGTCCGCCGCGACGGCGGCATCGAGCGGGCCGTCCGCCGCAGTAATTCTTTGGGCACGGCCGCCATGGCCGACACGGGCGTGATGCGACGTGGCCAGCCTTCCGCACCGAGACCACCACCGCCCATTTCAAGTCGATACAGGGTGATCGTTCCGTGATTTGCCGATGTGTACGTCAGGCAGGCCATCATGGGCGCTGGCGACGACGACGCCGAGGTGGCCACACCGGGCACAAATTTGGCTGTGCCCAGCAGCTGGCGCTCGAGCGCCTCGAGGGCCATTTCATCAGGCGGCTGCGCGCGTGAGACGATGCTGCCACCTTCGGGCAACAAGATGACGCGGGCTGCAGCACGGAAGTAGGCGCGATAGTCCTTGGGTTGGAGTACACGCAGTAGCTCAGCCAGCAAGCCTCGAGTGGACAGGCGGGCACGACCACCGTTGCTACCGGTGTCCACGCCCAGAGATGCCAGCAAGGTGACACTGATAATCTGGGTGAAGGCCATAAGCGATTTACGCCGGTCGTTGACACTGTCTGGGTGCTTGTTGAGGGCAAACGGCCGGAATCCATTCCAGTGCATGAGCGGCGGTGGGCCGCCGCCGCCGGCCGAACCACCGCCAGTGGTGGATGCTGGTCCCGTCGTTGTGCTGTTGGATCCTTTGCGCTGGTGATCGGCACCGCTGCCGCTGTGGCGCTGGCTCGCACTGCTCCGCCGACGACCACTGCCGCCCACTACACTGCCATTGGCCAGGCTGGACCGCCGGCTGCTGAAGTTCGGCATGTCGCCGCCGTGGCCAAAGGAACCAAACTGCTGTTCATTGTCGTCCGAGTCGGCATCCGAGCTCACCGACTCGGCCGCCGTCTCCGAGTCTTCCAGGGCGCTGCTCTCTTCGGTCGTGGTCACGTCTTCGGATGACTCGTCCGTGCCAGGCGCCGGGTCATCGAGCCCTGTCCCATTGCCGCCGGTGGCCTGGTCCTCGGCCACGGCCGTCAAACTTTCCAGGAGCGTGTTGGCGCTCTGGGTCAGGTAACGAGCGTCCTGGTCGAGCTTGACAAAAATGTCGGTGGCGTGGTCCATGGCCTGCTGGTTCTTGAGGACGGGCATAAGGTAGGCCCGCAGGCGCCTCGGGTAGTTCTCGGTGGCATAACGCATGCGCTGGCGGCAGACGTCCCGGTCGCGCTGCCGCTCGCGCTCGTCACGTTCTCGCTCCAACTTCAACTCGCGTGACCGTTCGCGTTCGCGAATCTCTCGCTCTTTGGCTCGACGGTCCTTTTCCCGGTCTCGGTCCCGTTCCCGTTCTCTGTCATGGTCTCGCTCTCGCTCTCGCTCTCGCTCTCGCTCCCGGTCACGCTCCCGGTCACGCTCTCGACGGCCGTAGGATCCGCCCAGACTACTCCCGCTGGTCATGCCGGCCGTTCGTGGCGTCCGCGGCGAGCCAGACGGCTGCCACGACCGACCGTCGAACTCGTACTCGTACTCATACTCTGGCTCGTCACGTGGCTCGTCACGGTCGTCGTACTCCTGCTCGTGCTGGCCATCGTAGTCTCGACTGGCGTGGCTGTGGTGGTCCCACCCGCGGTCTCGTTGCCGCTCCCGGATGGGAATGCCTCTCTCCCGGTCTTCATAACTGCCGGCACCACTCCCTGGTGGGTGTGGCGGCCCTGGCCGCCCTGGCCACGTGTGCTGTCTTGTGAACTCGTATGCCGGCGTGGGTGACGCTGGCGGCGAAAACGAACTGCCGTTGCGCGCGGCCCGCTGGGCTCGTTGGTACATCTTGGCGTACTCGGTGGTGGAATCCATTTTGGAATGATGGATGTCCCGTTCACGCCGGTATGCCATGGTGGGGTTGCGTGGGGGGTAACGGAGGACGATGCAAGAGGTTCTTGGTCAATTGGGCTGTGTCAATGGGATGCTGAGAATACACGACGATGTATCTCGACCCTCAGCCCAATGTAAGTAAAAAAGATGGAATTGGTGAAAGAGTGTCAATAGGAGATCTGCTGTCCAACCAAGTGAATCCAAGGGGGAAAGGAAAGAAGTCAATTGCTGTAAAGAAAGTGGAGTGAGCGCAACAAAGATGTAAACAGTGAAAGCTAACAAAGGGAGGCAATCGACGAGGGACAAGAAGAGCGAGACGGCGAGAACGAGAACGAGACAAGAGAGGAGCAAAAGCGTCCTTCAAACGACGAACAACCGGACAGCCGTGAGTTTGAAAGGAGAACTAACCAAGCAGACACAAATGGCTGTCTCTGCCATCGGTAACTAACAAATCTGCACGTCCATCGGCGCGGCAGCTGTTAGGCGTCGATGCACGTCCACATGTGCGTTCAGATCGTGGATCCGTCTCTATCTTGGGGCGATGCTTTCTGTTACTGTCTTGAGAACTCCGCTCTTTGCTCGCCTCCTTTTTCAATGGCTGTGGAGGGGACTCTGCAGGAGCCAGTCGCATGGCGGGAAGGAGCTACCCATGTCGAAGCACAAGCACGCATTCACATTCAGCACAGGAAGGAGCACAACAGCAAACGCAGCACCGCGTAATTACAGCGCAGAGACCAAACAACCCCACATTGCAAGCGGCCCCTCTCCTGTTGCTTTTGGTCGTCTTATGCAGTAAGGTGGGGTGCGACGGAGAGGAAGTGGCCTGGTGAGAATCTGTACATCGTAGGAAAGAGCGACCGTGGTGGACGAGCCATTGGGTTTTGCCACGTCAGACTCAGGAACAGCATTGGTCAGGGTCGCTCTCGTGTCTGTCCTGCTCCCGGATCACTCTCCATTCATTTGTTGCCTCCTTTTCAAACTGAATTGAAAGCACGGCACGTTTCGATAATAAGAGAAACATTGTCTCTCCATTTCACTTATTTCTCAAAATGCTCTTCGTGTCGGCCATCCGCGGCCAGCGCCTCGTCTCAGTCGCTCTTTCCTAACAGAGCCGCTGCAAGCATGAACCACCAACAAGTGGGGCAAACCCCCCTCTGTAAACAGAGCTCTTTCCCTCAGCATCTCTCCAGCTGTTACCTGCTCCACCTTTTGCGCTGCGTGCCCGACGGGCTGACCAAATAAGGAAAGGAACTGATGATAAAGGACAGAGACAGAAAATGGCAAGCGAGAGGCAGAAAGGGACAAACAAAAAAGGCCACAGACGATCGGCAAGCGTGGGGGAAGCGAACAAGCTGTTGCTCAAACGCTCTGGGTAACGCGGGACAGAAAGTGGACGACAGGTCGAAGAGGAGAGACAGTAAACAGTGCAGAGGCACGAGACGGGCAGATTTCAAAATAGCTTCCAAATACCGCTGTTCAGAAACGTGGATACAAATTGGCACAGGGCAGCGCCATCGCAGTGGTTAGATGTGAGGTTGAACGATGTTGTCTTCTTTGCCCCGTCCTGCACTTCTTTCTTTGCTTCCTTGCTTCCTTCCTATTGTTCTTCCCCCTCTCACACAGGGATGTGCCTAAGTAAAGTGGATTGTCCCCTCCCCTGCTAATCCTCAGTCGCCGCCCATGTCACATGCGCTCTATCCGCCGACCCCTGCTATGCCGTGTTTGGGAAGTGAGAGGCTGTCTTGTTCTCGCAGACAACTTGGTCGTCGTTGGCCAGCGCGTGGTATTCTGTGACAGAGAGACAGCGTCAGAGAGAGTTCGAACGACAAAGCGGAATGAAAACAGGACGGATTGATGCCGTTGGCTATCTATACTTTGAAGCTCTGTGCCTTTTTGTCCTCATCCTAGAAAGAATATAAGTGATGAAATGATTTGAGTCGAACCACGAGCCAGCTCCTGAGACACAGTGTTATTGGATTTGAGTAACTGATATTAAGCCTCGATAGCATCACTGGATATAAGGTGTTCGGCCCATCTTCCACGGCCTCTGCTCCTTCCCTTCTGGGACGTGCAAATGGAAACATTTACTTCCAGTTTCCACGTGACGGCGTGGAAATGATACCAGAAGAAAGCAATGTCGTGATCTCCCTGTTAACCACTGCCTCGGAGCACCTCACGACGTCTTCTTCTCTGCCTCGGGTCATCGCGCAACAACGTACAGTTTGGCCTCAATCGACCACGTACTGCCGCCGATCGCGCACGAGACCATTCAGGCTCTATTGGCAAGCTTGCATCTACCAGCCTCCGAGAGCATCACGGCCCTCAATGTCACGGCCGACTGCCATGCCATCTACAAGATCGCCAGTCTCACGGGGCAAGGCATTTGCGCACGGAAGAATGCCAGGCACCGGGGGTACACAAACCTAATGCTCCGCACCGCCGCAACCACATGCCAGAATTCAAGACGCGCAACGAGATCGGCATCATCGATGGCCAGAAACAACGGCTGCCGCCAAAGCCATACCCTTTCCCGATGTCATTGCCTACGACGCCACGAGCGACAACCCGCTCGGGCGTGAGTACACATTAGTGTCCCGCGCACCGGGAAAGGCACAACGAGATGTGGATATCTGGGTCGACACGCACCGAGAAACAAAAGAAGGGCATTTTCGATGGTGTCCTCAACATCTTGGTTGCCTTGCACGGTGGCGAAAGGTGGACACGTGTCGGTGACCTCGACATAGTCCATGGCAAGATAGCTCCAGCGCAAGTGGTTGCCGAGACGTTCTGGCGGACGGGAGACCTGTCGCTGTGGCCTGTCGACGAGACAGTTTCGACGCTCAACGACGCTCAACCTACATGCGCCCAACGACTCGTGGCCGGCGGCAGTCGTTGCCCAGATAAAGGGCAATATTCGCTTGCTCCGTTGCGCTGGCTTTCCTCCGAACAGCCCTTTAACCCCGTCTAGTGGCCTTTGTGGACTTGCTCGAGGCGCCGACCACGCATCCGTCAAAGTGGAGCTTAGCAGACACCCGTCTCGTGCTCGCCCACCAAGATCTCGACGTTGCCAAACCCCTCGTGTGACCCGACACCGAGCATTTTTGTGGCCCGCTCGTCCTGACGACCCGGACAGGTCGGCCAAGACGCGGACCCTCATCAGCCAGCGTGCGGAACGAGTCTGCGCCGGCAACGATCCTTCCGTCACAACCCTGCTGCTTGATGGTCAGCAGTATGCCTCGACCCAGTGTGTGAGAGGTGGTGTGTGCCTCGGGAAGCATGTTATTTTGGGGTCATTCCTCGTTCCTCCTACGTCATGCAGAGATCAAGGGGCGCTGTTGTTTGAGGTTTCTTGTGGCAGGACGTACAAAGCAGAAGCACTATGGAGACGAACGACTTTGGTTTAAATACGGTAAACGGCGAGGATGCACAGAGTCGTTCCTATTCAGGGGCCACAGGAATGAGGTTTGCACCTCCATCTTCCCTTTGAAAGACAAAGGATCAACCAGGCACAAGTTACGAAATAACAATGCCGACGACGAAGCAATCAGAAACCAAGAAGAACGCATGAATCCCGACCCACGGCGCAATGGATTCTGTGTACATACGCGTACATGCATTGTAAAAGACGTCGTGTGAGGGGATACAAAGGTATCAAGGAGGAACAATTTGAACAAGGACAAAGTTCGAAGCAGAAACCGGAAGTCGTTGACACGAATTATTGGCTGCGAGAGGACGAGACCGTATGGTCCACCACAATACGATAACTGAGGCAGGGCGAAAGGCAGCAGGATTGTCAGAGGACAAGCACGAAAGGTGGTCCTTGATCCGCCGCCCTTAAAAGGGTACACTGCAGAATGAACCTCTGTGGAAGCATTGGTGATCGTTGTTCGTGATGTCGTATTAGCTCTTCGTGCACCGGACATAACTTCCTCTTATTGTCCACATTCTTTTTATACTCTTCATCCCCTCGTCGCCGTCATTATCGTGATGGTCGGTAACTGGCTTGTCCTACCTCGGCAGCGTGCTGGCTTGTGAGCCTCTTATGACGACGAGTTGTGCTCGTTTTTCCCAGACGCTTTCTACCGTGACCCATGCCAGCCAACGTTGCCATGCGATGCCCAGAGGCTGGGGGCAGAACATCTATAAATTGAAAGGGAATTGTCGATATAACGCATATTTTTAGTCATTTATTATGTTAGCAGTGAGCGGTATCAAGTCTTTACCTTGCCAGAGCAAACAACTGGACTCTCTGCATTTCTGCATGCAGTATGCAGTTGGCAGGAAACAAAAAGCATGTCGCATATTTCCCGGTATCCTGGCGGGCGGTCTTCGGTCGCGCCTCTTCTTCCGATGGCTTCCTACATGTCACCGACCACTGCATTGCCTAGGGCTGTGTCATTCTTTCTTACCTTTTTTCTTTCTTATCGCTTTTCTTTCTTTTTGCTTGTCCTTCCGCACTATCCGCAAACGTTCTGATCGTCCGGGTTGTATCCTCGCCGACAAGATGTGCAGTTTTTGGCCATTTCCGGTAATGGATGCTTTTTCCTGGTCAAACATCAGAACGGCACCTGGCACTTTTGTGTTTGCTCTCGAAACTCTTGCCTCTTTTTGGTCAAAGAGGGCAGGCGACGCCCGGGCGTCTGCAGACGGACCATCCGTCAACAAGTGCCCAGCCTGGCTTGCATGTATTGCATTTCCATGCTTTCGTTCCCTTTCCTGGTTGCGCATGCTGCAAGGTAACTCTGCAGTTGAGCAGCCACAGAAATATGGGACCCGGTGTGCTAAAGTTAGCCAGCAAGGAGCAACGTCGTAAGCGAAAGGCGCATGCAGCGGAAGTCTGTGGTCAACTTCGGACGGGACGGAACCTTTTGGGATGCTTTGTCTGTGGCTATGCGCCTGCCACCCGTCTTTTCAGAAGCCCGGCGCAAAACACTGACCGGGCCGTGATGCTCTGTTTTGAGCATGTCACTGTCCGCCACCCCTTTGCTTTTTTGTTTTGCGGCTGATCGTACGGCCTTCCGTCAGACGGGATGTATTGCAGTCTGTGCTTGTTTTTTTTTTTTGTTTTTCATTTTTTAATGGTTTGTTGTCGTTCACCAGAAAGTGCAAAACCGCCCAGCTGTTTGACAGCACGATACGACGGCAGCTACGGGCACCAAGCTTGTGCCCCGTAAAGAGAGACAAGCAGTGGCGTCTGTCTATTCGAGTCGTGCATCTGGTGGCGGCTGGCAGCGTACAGCTGGCTGTCATTATGTCGTTTGCGCCGTCTCAATCTATTTATTTTGCTCCTCCAAATGACAACTCGTCAATGCACACCACGGGGATTTGCTCTTACCGGGTATTTTTATAGTTATCCCTGTCCACTGCGGCGTCTGAGGACTCGCACAGACACAGAGAAAGATACGACACACAGACTGCGGAGTTGCCACGAGGTGCCGTGGCAAGTTGTCTTTTCATTGTCTGGTTCTCTTCCGTGGCACACCTCCTGACTTGCAAGGCGCTGCCTTTGAGGCATACGCACTGCACCGTAGCATTGCCTTCCCTCCCGTCGAATGGGAGTGTAGCACGACCGAGGCTTTGATGTCATTCGGTCCTTTTGTGTGTGCATGTGTGTGCGTTTTGCTTGGAGAAACTTGTGCACAGAACAGCAGAACTCGAGTGAACCTGGTATCTGGGATGCACAGAAAATACACCTTTTGGTTTGAATTACAACAAACATCTAAGAATCAAGAGGCACCCTCTGTTCTATTTTTATTTCATTTAAATACTGACCAAAATACTGAAATAAACCATACAAAAGATGCATCTAAAGCAAAAATAAAATAAAATAAAATAAAAATTACCATGTGTCACGGCTGGCTTGACAAACAGTTTCTTTTTGTAACTCTTTGTTGACGACCCTTCCCCTCTCTTCCCACCGACAAGGTTCATCCCTGCCTCGTGTCATACCCCACAAGGCTTGCAGTCGATGTCTTCCCGATGTTTTGTTTCACTCTCATTCCAGTGGTCATGCTTCCCCGTCTTTAAAGTTGAAGCCTTTTCGTACATATGACCAAATGTCAAGTGTCAAGCATCGAGAGTGGAGAGTCATCCCGGTCCTACGTATATGAGAATGGAACGTAATGGTAGCATCTTTTGCCTCAAAGAAGACTATGGCCCGAGCATGCATGCACCATGTGATGGCAAGACGGGACATTGTACTCTTTAACAATGGCTGCATAAGAAGAGAAGGAAGAGAAAAAAAAAAGTAAATGTATGTGCCGCCCCATAAAAATAGCACGGTGCGGCCGTGAGTGCTGCTTTGCTTGCATGCAACAATAGTCCCGCTAAACCAGAAACATCAACGTACAGGTCGACTTGCTGCGTTGTCTATCCAAGACGCGGGTCGATTTTATGCAACACAATTGGCGGCCATGTACATAAGCGTATTGGACTGTTGTTCAGCGGGCATCTCGACAACAGCCCCGTTTAGGGCTATGAGGATCTCCACGACAGCACAGCCGTATCCACCGTTGAGCATATCAGCTCGTCTTCCTCTCGGTTTTCGGATTTCAATTTTCAGTTTTCAGTTTTCAGTTTTCAGCTCGCAGCTTGCAGATGCTCGGCTGCCCGTCTGCCCCAAAAAAGACGATCTTGTACACGGCGGCCCGAAGCCGTGCAACAAGGCAGCGGCGGGACAAGGTACACCACCAAATCCTGTAGAGGTGAGCAGCGCAGGAGGAAGAGGAAGAGGAGGCGGCGGGCCTCTGTACACGGCATCCGTACAGATGACACCCCTTCTTCTTTTGTAAAATTAAACATAGGCAAGAGCCTTTATCGACGTTCGAAGGACAAGGACATTGTTCAAGGCCGGTGCCGAGTCTGGTTCGGCAGATACTCGACATCTCGTCTCGTTCCTCATTGTTTATGTTCAAACCCGACGGTGTATTGCCATACCGGATATGCTGATCATGAATGCAAGACTTTCCTGGTTAATCTTTTCCTTCGATTGTCTTGTCCTGTTGGTTTCTCAAGTGTTCGGTCTCGCATTTGGGCACGTATTTGGTCTCGTATTTTGCTCTTCTTTGTTTGTCTCCCTATTTCATGCTGTCAACATGGCCCCCAATCCTACCCATTCTTCCGCCAAAGCCATCACCACGTCCAGTCTGGGATTCCAATGGAAGCACGACACTCAGCCTCTTCTTTTGCTTCGTCTTGTGGAATCCTTCACACCCTCTTGGTGTTCCTCACTGCATATCAGCTTCTCCGTCTCCGCGGGTTTTGCCAGCTCAGAGTTTTTTTACTTTTTCGATTTTTCTCTATTTCCGTTTTCGTTTTCTCTGCTCTTCTGCTTCTCGACGCCTATGTCGGCGAGATGCCCGCAGCCAGTCTATGCATCGTCTCGCCAAGTGGTCTCGTTATACGTGTGCAAAGTAAGGGGTGATGAGGTGAAAGGTAAACAATCGAGCAGCCTACGTCAGTCGCCAACAGTCTCCCGAACAATCTCAGCACATCATATTATCACAACGTTACACAAAACCTCCAACATCTGTTGATAACTGGAACGTCCATAGCTGTTAAACGAGGTTACAAAAACGAGACGTGTGGGCTACGATATGTCCTCCGTGGTCGATTCACCCACCAATTTTGAATTCGTAGGCTTGCTTTGGACATGACTCTCCTGTGACGGAACTGGTATGCTTCTGCATCTTTAATGCAATGTATTCCATTCATCTTCGTCCACTCTTCGTCCACTCTTCTCCTCTCTTCTCTTCCTCCCCCACCCCTTCTTATCATCCTCCCACCCTCCGGCTTCGCTTTTTGCTTCCCCGCTGACCTTTCCCTTCTGGTCGTCTCGTCGTCTCGTCGTCTCATCGTCTTGTCGTCGGCTCGTCTTCCCCTTTGCGTCCCCCCTTCCAACATTCAGCCACCGCCCCTTTGTCGTCACCGCATCGTCACTACACGGAGCTTCCGTTGGATGCCCGTCAAGGAGCAATCTCCACCGGTGATCGTCGTAGAGGCCAACTGGCGTATCCTACTGGCCCACAACTCGTGCATCAATATCGCCGTCCACTCTTCCTTTTTCGGAGACGATGGTGTAGACGGAGGTGTGTGATGGACGTCGCCGAGAGGCGTTTCGTTCAGTCCAGTCTAGGTCAGGTCGAGTCGTGTAAGCGGCAGTGCCATGGCTGAGATCGACCGATTTGGCCAGCTGGGGATCCCAAGTAGGTCTCAACAAGACCTTTGGAGGTGGCATCAGCTTGCCTCTTTTGTGCATGTCGGCTCCTTCGATGCGTGTATAACATGGCGTGGCCATCCCCTTTGCGTTTCCTGACCACCCTCTTCCCTCGCGGCTCTACCTGCCAGTTATCATTTGCTGCTGCATTCTATACACACCCACTTCCTTCTATTTTGTCATCCTTCCGTCTTCTTAGTTGATGTCCTCGTTATCATTTGTTTTTATTTTATTTTATTTTTATTTATTTTTTGATTTCTCATTTCCCTTGTCATTTTTTATTAGCAGTAGGCTTTCCATCCCATCCGTATCCTTCTTCCCTGTGAGCACTGTTTCTACCTGACACTGGACACGCGGCATCATCCCGTCATCCTTTCTCACACCATCACTTCGTTTATTCCCTTGTCTGGACTGTCTTCAGCTCACGCCCTTCTTTCTCTCGTTCCTCCCCTCTTCCCCCCCACCCCACAATGTCCATCCTGGACGCCTACCCCGAGTACGGCTCGACGGCCTGCCTCGACACGCTGCGGCAGACCGACTACAGCTACCTCGACGAACAGCACCACGTGTACCTCGACTACACGGGCAGCGGACTGGCCGCCCGCAGCCAACACCGCGCGCACGCCGAGCGGCAGACGTCGTTGGTGCTGGGCAACCCGCACTCGGTGAGCCCCACGAGCGAGTGTGCCACGGCCTTGGTGGAGGCGACGCGGACGCAGATCCTGGAGCACTTTGGGGCGTCGCCGGACGAGTATGCCGTCGTCTTTACCGCGAATGCCACGGGCGCGGCGCGTCTTGTGGGCGAGGCGTACCGCTGGGGGCCCACAACGACGAGCACGAGGAATCGACCAAGGACCGGGACCGGGACCGCGACCGCGACCGGGACTGGGATTCGGTCTGGCCGACGGGGCCGCGCAGAAAGGCGCCTCGTGTTGACGGCCGACAACCACAACTCCATCCACGGGCTGCGGGAATACGCCCGGCGGCAGGGCGTCGCAACGCAGTATGTGCCGTGTCGAATGCCGGACATGGATGTGGACGAGACGGTGCTGATGGACGTCCTGGCGCCGGAGGCCGGACCAACGGCAAGCTTGCGGCGAACATCCAAACCAAAGTCGAACGCGTGGCAGCGGTTCTTGCGCAGCGTCTTTTGTGGACTCTTGGACGGGAAGGCGGACATGGATGAAAAGGACGTCGAGGTTGAGGACGACGGCGTTGGTGACATCACCATAACGACAAACAGCACCACCACCGCCTCGTCCTCCTTTGACCACCCCCACGACCGCGGCCTCTTTGCCTACCCGGCCCAAAGCAACTTTTCCGGTGTCCGCCACTCCCTGGATTGGATCGCCGCCGCCCAGCGCCGCGGCTACGACGTCTTGCTGGACGCCGCGGCCTACCTGCCGACGTCGCGGCTCGACCTGTCTCGCGTGCACCCGGACTTTGTGCTGGTCAGTTGGTACAAGCTGTTTGGCTACCCGACCGGCGTGGGCTGTCTGGTGGCGCGGCGCGAGGCGCTGGCACGGCTGGACCGGCCGTGGTTTTCGGGCGGCACCATCCAAGCGGTCAGCGTCGGGCTGCACTGGCACGCGCCGGCGCACCGCATCGAGGCGCAGTTTGAGGACGGCACGGTGAATTTCCAGTCGATCCCGGACGTGGGCGTGGGCATCCAGTGGCTCAACAATGCCGCGCGCGCGGGGGGAACCGCCATCGCGTGTGGCGGCGGCGGCAGCGACGACGCCAAGCGTGGTGAGGACACACAGGGGAACACACAAATGGTCACGCCTGCGGACAGACTCGCGCTGGTGTCCGTGCGCGTCCGCTGTCTGACGGGCTGGTTCCTGGACCGGCTGGTCGTCCTGCGGCACAGCAACGGCCGCCCGATGGTGCGCCTCTACGGTCCCCCGCACTGCCTGCCCGACGGCAGCAACCGCGGCGGGACGGTGACCTTCAATGTCCTGAACACGGCGGGCGTGGTCGTGGACGAGCGCATCGTGGCGCGGGAAGCGGCCAAGGCGCGCATCTCCCTGCGGACGGGATGCTTCTGCAACCCGGGCGCGGGCGAGGCGGCGCTGCAGTACACCTGGGCGGACATGCTGAAGCTGCAGGCGTTGGCCATGCGGAGCGTGGGCGGCGAGACGTTGCCGGCGTTGAGCAGCGCCGCGGTGGCTGGTCCCGCCGCCCACGTTGCGCGGGATTGGACGCGGCCAGACAGTGGGTATGAGGACGGAACGGTGACGCAGGCGTCGTCGTCGGAGGTGGAGGTGGGGGAGGAGGAGGAGGAGGCGGCCTCATCGCCCCAACCGTCGTCTGTACCGACTCCGTCGACTGCATCGGCATCGACAGCAAAAAACAACAGCGACTGGCCCGTCACCGGCGCCGTCCGCGTGTCCTTTGGCATCGCTTCCAACACAGCCGACGTCGACGCCTTTTTTGTTTTTGTCCGCCGTGTATTCGGTGACTGGGCGGGCGACAATTCTGGAATGGAGCCGAGGATCGAGTGTTAATGTGGTTGATAATGACTTATGGTGTTGAGGAATGTGGCGGTTTGCCGTTTTGTGTCTCCGTTTGTGTTTTCGCGGATTTTTAAGAAAATCCTTTCATTTCATTGGATATTTTTGCTTCTGCTCACGATCATTCTCTTTTTCGAATCGGCGTTTGTCTCGTCAATCTACGTGTATCACAGCTTTCTTGTGAATCACATTTGCAGTGCAATAAATCCCAGACAAGGTCGACAGTCGCAAATTTGTTTGTAAATTTCCTAACTACATTCCAAATTGAAAATCGAAACAAATGCAGGTCAAGAACAAAAACGAGAGCACAATGAGCGCTAGCACCCGCAGTCCGTCACCCTTCCCATCTCCGATCTCCAATCTCTGGATGTGGTTCGGTTTGGTAGGAACGGAAAACTGCCTCGGGGCCGAGCATCAACCAGTGCGTCAGCGCACCGTCGGCATGGTTGCGTGTCGACGTTATTTATTTGCCGCAGCTGGAGCAAGAGCCTAGATAGGTTAGGATTTGATTTTATTGTGTATACATCGTCATGGAACAGTCAAAGAACATACAGTCAGAGCCGCAGTTGCAGGAGGAGGTGCCAGAGCAGCCGCACTCGCCCTTCATTTTGACGGTTGGTTGTGGGTGGGGTGGTTTAACTCGTAAGAGAGAGAATGGTGGGCAACGTCAAAGGATCTTTGACGATGAGTTGATGTTGTTGACGAGTTGTTATCAAAGGCGGAAGATGTGTCTTGTGGTCGACTTGGTGATGAAGGGGGAAATGAAGGACCTGGAAAGAGGGGGAGACGGCCTTCTTATATCTGCAACGACTCGACACGAGCAGAGGGAGATGGCCCCTCTTTCTTCTACGCTACAAGGACTCGGCCGTCGGAGACTAAGACGCTATACTAGTGTGATGTGATGATGGGCGTGATGGAGGGCAGAAAGTGAGTCGAGAATGGAGGCAAGGGAGGGGCGTGGGTGGAGTGACTCGAGCAGATCGACGAAGAAGTACGGCGTGCTGTAAGAAGGACGAAAGGGCGGCAATACTTGACAGGGGCAGAGGAGGCGAAATCGTATCTCGCAAAGGCAAAATGGAGACGAAGTAGTCGAAGTCGAAGAAGTCGAAGAAGAAGGGGGTGCAGGTAGACTGTTTGAAACACACTCCACGATGGAGGGTGTGAAGTAAATGGGGCAATGGGACGTTGTGAAGAGCAGAGCATACACGGAGACACGGAAATGCATGATGTGAGCATGTTTAGCAATGAGTGCAGGTCTTGTTCCCAGTTTGAAGGATTGTTTCTTGTTTCTTTCTTTTGCGTATTGCATTTTTTTTCTTTTCTTTTTTTTCTTTTTTTTTTTTTGTTCGTCTGCGACTACACAGGACTTGGCGGTATCTCTGCTTCAATGTCTGCGTTATGTCGTACGATATGTAGCATCTACAGACACGCCGATTGTTTCGAGACATCCGAGGATGCGTCACTGAGTTGACGTTGAGAGTTGACAACTGCCAACTGCCAATTGTGACTTACACTTAAGAAGGCAACGACAAGGGCTACCGCTGAAGATTAACGTATTTGCTGATGCAAAAACATCCCACAGGGCATTCCAGGCGCGCAGGTAGCGCCGCGCTCTGACGGCATTCGATTTTAGTGGCTGATAGCACCTGTTAGTGGGTGGATGAGGGGGGCACGGGTCGCTGAGGCGCTAAGCGGGTTTGGGTTAGGCTGGCCTCTTCCTGCACTGGCCGCCGCAATGTTCATTTTTAAACTCTGCGCGATTTGCGCCGAAGGCTCAGTGGGCTGGCTGGTTAGTGGGTGAACAGATTAGCGTCTTACAGGCAGTCTACGACAGTGCTGAACATTACGACAGTGGCTCAGTGGGTCCGCGTGGTTTTTGCGGTTGTGTCCTTGCCCAGGACGCAAACGTTCTGCGCTGTTTGTGCGTTTGACGGCATTTCAATGATGGCAATGCAGATGATCAGAAAAGGGGATCGGATCCAGCTTTGAGTGCATTGTGCGTTTTGTGTGCCTTGTGCGGCTTTTCTGCGTTGAATCACAGGCTGCCTACGGGGTATTAACAGGCTGCCTGTGTGCTATACTTTGTGCTGTAGTCTGCGGCATACGTCCCTTGAATTTGTCCCACTTTTCCTGTTAAACGGTCGTGCAACAGAATGTAATACAGCAAAAGACGGCGGGCGCGCGACTACAGAGTACACGAAACAATGTAAGGTGTGACCAAAAGGCTATCGTCGGCAGTTCTGCAGAGACGGATACCTTGGACAGCTGTTCTGGAACAACGACACTTGCCAACTTTCAGTTCAGAGTTGCCGCTCGGGGCGCTTTTCATCCTGTTTTCCACTGTTCCACAGAGGGTTAGCTTTGTCC